GCGTTGCACAAGCTAGTGGCCTTCATGGATGACCATTCCTTTGTTTCCAGAGACGATATGTAGTTTAAAGTGAAATAAACAAAAGGTTGAGTATTGTAACCATGAATAGATACACAGGTGTATGTAGACAAAAAATGTATTTCTGCAAGCAAAAAGGCCCAGTGGGAAATAGGAATTGTAATTATATTGAGTTTGTGTGGCGTTTCTGTGTAGACCTGTTTATCCGTAGTCATGACCCAGGCATACAATTTTAGTCTGTTATGAACTGTGTAATACATCCAAGGTAGATTTCTGCCAGGAACATAAATTAGGAGGAGGACACCCCAGGGGCTGCCCTGGAAGGTAAGTGTGTTAAGTGAGCCTCTGCCCATGAACACTTAGAAGGAAGACTCGAAGGAGTGCTGAATACTGAGTCAGGAGGCTTGGGTCCTGACAGGCCTGTCCGGATGGGCTTAGACATGCCATTCCACTTTGGGGCTTCTGTTTCTTAAAGTGCAAATGTGGGCTTTATCTCGAAAGTGCCCTTCAGCATTTAGATTGTCTTCTTCCCTAGGGCTGGAGTGTTGCATCAGGATCCAGCCTGGGGTTTGTGCTGTTTGCGAGGCCCCAGAGAACCAGCGCTGCCTTTTTTTTCCAAGGAGATGGTGCGCCTTACTTAGCCCACAGAGCCCTGTAAAGCAGTGAGCGGCTAGTGCCGTGAGGTGCTTATTCACTGGGGACTGAGCCTGGGTTGTTTGTAGTAACCTAGAAGGACCTCGGACTGAGGCCAGGAGATGTAATTTCTGTGACCCACTAGTTGCCTACTCAGCTCACTGGGACCCATCCACAGTATCATTCTGTCTTTGGAGTAGGAGAGGATAGAAATCTGTGTCTTTTTTTTTTTTTTTTTTTAATATTTTTTAAAATTTATTTCTAGGAGAGAGAGAGAGCGTGAGCAGGGGAGGGTCAGAGAGAGAGGGAAACACAGATTCTGAAACAGGCTCCAGGCTCTGTGCTGGCAGTCAGCACAGAGCCCGACGCGGGGCTCGAACCCACGAACTGCGAGATCATGACCTAAGCAAAAGTCGGACGCTTAACCGACTAAGCCACCCAGGCGCCCCGAAATCTGTGTCTTCTTAAGGAGATGTGTTTAAGGGCTTGGAATTGAAGGACTCCCATTATCTTATAGCAGTTGGCAAGAATATATATTCTTGCTGAATGTAATTTTATAAATATTAGCAAGGAATGCCTTCGTATCTTCATAGGCTTTTTAAAACTTGACGAAGTTTGCATTTGCTTAGTCTTTGCTCTCGCCCTAATGCTAATTATATTACTCTTTGTTCCGTGCTGTGAACAGTTGATAATATCTACAGGCATCTTTTGACATAGGTAACCTCTGTTTTCTGGGTTAATTAGGAACTAGTATCACCAGAGGAAGAGCTGATCTGCATGATTATTTCTTCCATCATGCCATTCATACACACTATCTATCGATCTATTTATTTCTTATTTTTTAAGTAGGACCCACACCCAGTGTGGGGCTTGAACTCACCACCCTAAAAGAGTTGCAGGCATTTCTGCATAAGCCAGCCAGGTGTCCCATATAACTGTTTGACCCTCTGGTGAGATCATAGCCTTAACACTAAAAGGTTCTTAATAATGGTGGAAATCATGACACACCTTGGATGCTAGTAAGAGTCCTCTGGCCTTCCCCAGGTCCCGACCCATATGGTCACTGCTGTATTGATTGAGGTTGAGGTTGTTGATGGCAACAGTGGGCTCTGGGGAGTGGCCGGGACCTAGGAAGGGGTTGCAGGTAAGCTGTGTTTCCGTGGATAGCCCTCTAGGGAACCCAGCACTTGCCTGATGTTAATGACCTTATACCGAAATCTAATTGCCAAGGATAGAAGTGTTTTCAGTAAACATCTTTTGAGCACCTGTACTCCTTCTGAGCTTTCACACTGTTGCTAGAACATTGCATGTAGCCCTCCAACAGGAGCATGACTCAAACAAGTATCACTGTCTTTGTCTCAAAGTCTCCTTTATCTTCTTCAGCTTCCCTTTCTCTCCTACTCTCCCATGGTTAAGGGTGGCACCACTTACACAGTCTCTCAAATGTGAACTTGAAGATTTGGAATTACCTGTATTCTTCCCACGCCGTACTTCCTATATGCCAGACTTCTACATCTGTGGAATTAGCAAACTCTGTTGGCACTGCCTCCAAAAAGCGTTTTTATTATCTATCTATCTATCTATCTATCTATATATCTATTTTTTCTGAGAGAGAGAGAGACAGACAGACAGACAGCATGAGCAGGTGAGGGCCAGAGAGAAAAGGAGATACAGAATCTGAAGCAGGCTCCAGGCTCTGAGCTAGCTTTCAGCACAGAGCCTCACATGGGGCTCCAGCCCACGAGTGTGGGTGTGATCATATGTGATCATGACATGAGCCGAAGTCGGACGCTTAACCAACTGAGCCACCCAGGCGCCCCCTAAAAGCGTTTTTAAACCCGTGCTGCTTTTCAGCCCCAATGTCATACTGCAGCCCCAGTTTATTTTTCCCCTAGGCTGCTGCCTCTTCACTAAAATTTGTGTCTCTGACCTCTGTCTTCCTTCTCTTCATCTCCCATCAAGTTGTTTTAAAAAAAAAAAAATTGCTCTCCTGATTATGCCTCATGTTTGCTGCTGTTCTGCAATTTGCCTTTTTTTTTTTCACTCAACAGTATGTTCTGGAAAATTTTTAATGTGGTTTATTTAGATCTTTTTTTAAATGCTGCATAGTATGAATACTATGTTGTTATAGGTTATTTGGACATTCCTCCATGAATGGACATTTGTGATAGTATATTTCATTGTTATAAAGAATACTGAAGTGAATGTCCTTGAGCCTGTCTCTATACACACGTGTGAGTGTGTAGATAGCGAAAAGGGGAATATCTGGGTCACAATGAATCTGTGTTTAACATGTGAATAGACACTGACAAATCAGTTTACAAAAGCTGCCTATCAATTTATATTCCCACTCTGCCTGCTTTTGTTTGTGTGTTTGTTTTAAGACCATTTCTAATCTGGACCTTGTGTACTTCTCCCAGGCTCCGTGCTCCAACTGATGTGTTCGCTCATGTACTTGGGCACGGTCAGCCACGAGCCAAGCGTTACGGGGCGTGCCCTGTGTGCCAGGCACTCTGTGTTGGGGACCTAGACCTGCTGAGCCAGATTGGTCCCTGTCCCCGTCTCTGCTCTTACCATGCCAAATGTTTTTGCCATTGCTAGACTTTTCTTAATGCATTTGCAGCTGCTGTTCCTTCTTCCTGGTATGACATTTTTTTTTTCTTTTAACTCTTCTGCCAAGACTGTTTTTTTTTTGATAGTTCTTTTAAACCCTTTTCACTACATTTTCTCCACTTCCCCTCAGGTAGAGTTAGATAGGCCTTCCATAGTGGTCTCTCTTAGCACTTTACTTACATCCTGTTTGTAATGTTGATCCTAACGAGTTTGAATTATTTGTTCATGTATGTGTCAGCCTGTGTATGTTTGCGTATGTGTGTGCGTGCATATATATGTATATGCGTATATATACATATGTATATGTATATGTGTATACATATACGTGTATAAGTATATACATATGTATATATGTGTATACATATATACGTATATGTATATATATATGCATGCACACACACACACCTCTTTCCCATTCGATTGTAAGCTTAGTGAAGGCAGGAACTTGTGATAGTTACCGTAATGCTTCCCCAGCTGCAAGCCTTAAATACTGGTGTTGCTTTGCAAATGTTGAATAAGTGAATGAATAACAAGCTATCAGATGAACTTGTTTTGTACAGGGCAGTGTGGGGGCTTGTAAATGTGATTAAAAGCCTGATCAGTCTTCAAGGACCCAACCACGTAGGCAGGGAGATAAAAGACAGATGAGTAGACTGACTGTAGGGCACACTGATAAGCTCTGTGTGGAGGCATAAGTGACTCCCTGAGGAGAATTTAATGGGAGAGATGAATTCTCATGAGTGGGACAGTCTGATAAATTTTCAGATGAGAGGACTTTATTCTTGCTTCTGCCAGATATTGTGAGGGATAATGATCAGAGTTTAAGAGGGACACCTGGGTAGCCCTGTTGGTTAGACATCTGACTTTTGATTTTGGCTCAGGTCACAATCGCATGGTTTATGGGATTGAGTCCTGCGTCGGACTCCTTGCTGATAGCAGAGAGCCTGCTTGGGATTCCCTCGCTCCCTCCCTCTATTTGTTTCTCAAAGTAAATAAACATTTAAGAAATCTTTAAAAAAGTCATAAAAAAGGCTTTCATAGTCAAGTTGGGCTTGAGAGCAGAGATTGGCAGACTGTGGCCCGTGGGCCAAGTTGGGCCCGCCGCCTGTTTTGGTACAGCCCGTGAGCTAAGAATGCTGTTTTCCATTTTTAAAATTGCTTTTACAAAAAGAATATTCTGTGACCTGTGCAAGGATCTGCAGTTCCAAGTTCAGCGTCCGTAATGAACTCTTGCTGGAACACAGCGCGCTTGCTCGGTTCCCGCGCTCCGGGGCGGTGGCGGTGCTACCACAGCGGAATGGAGTAGTGTGATGGCTGTAACAGAGCCTGGCTGGCCTCTGATGCCTGGACCGTTTCCTCCCTGGCCTTTCACAGGAGCAGTCTGCCCACCCCCCGGGTTAGCGAACCGGAGAGATTCAAGTAAAGCAGAGAGGAAGAGAGGGCCCTTCGGAGCGAGCAGATTCGTTTGAGTTAAGAAAGTGGGACCACGAACTCTGTAGTCCTAGTGAAGCACTGGGAACCTTTTATTTCATAGCCTAGGCAGAAGGTCAGAGCCCTTGTCAAAGTTCACCTGACTGGGAAGCAGAGCTTTGAGGACCATAGAACATGATAAGGGTATTGCTGGGGTGGGGCTGGGTCACGAATGGCTTTGCCCTTGGACAGTGAGGGCCATAGGGCAGACTTCCGGTCTCTCTCTGAATGTCATGTTGTTCTTTTTTTGTCCCTTGTATTTCCAGAAGGCTTTTGAGCCCTACCTTGAGATCTTGGAAGTGTATTCCACGAAGGCCAAGAATTACGTAAATGGACACTGTACTAAGTACGAGCCCTGGCAGCTGATTGCCTGCAGTGTCGTGGGCACCCTGCTGATCGTCTGGGTGTACGGCTTCGTCTTCCAGCCAGAGAGTGAGTATACGACCCGCTCTTCTCTGGGAAGGTAGAGCGGAGTTTCACCAGCTTGACAACTCATAGTTGGACTAACTTCTTGCCTCTTGGTTTGGTTCTGATTTTTAAAATTGATTTAAATGGGAAGTGGGGCATTGTCTTCTGACTGTAAAATTATAGTAGGACCCTCTACATAAAGTTACAATAGCTGCTGGAATGTAACAGTTACTACTTCTGTTGATTTTTCTGGACTTGCAGCTTACATAACAACTTCTGAGACATTAGTTATTGTAAGGATCCACAGGCATCTCAAAGTATGGCCTAAACCTTTCTCATTTTTAGTTTCTTGCCTAGAACATAATTGCATTGCCCAGAGTTCCCCAAGCAGGAATTTATTACTTTCATTTTAGGCCATCCTGTCAATACAGATCATGTGAAAGTGGAACAGCACTCGTGCCGGGACCATACAGATGTCTGCCGTGTGCCAGGCACTGTGGCAGGCTCCAGGGAGATCGACACAGGTTATATGGGGTCCCTGTCCCCTTGGAGTTGAACTTCTGTGTCAGGGGTCAGCACACTTTGAGCTTCCTGGGTAGTGACTCAGGGAGCCGAAATGACCCAGTGAAGAGGAGGTCCCTTCTCCGGGAGGGCAGAAACGTGAGAAGGCTGTGAGCAGTGAGTTTGCAGATCGTCCATCCTTCCTAGGTTCACACCCACCCTGCCTCCCTTGCCAAGCCTGGCTGCGCGTTCTGTCCTCCTGAATTGTTTCCCCCGCAGGTTGCACATGGTGAGTGGCGGCGGCTGCTTCCATAATGCTCCTCTATAGCCATCCCCCACCCTTGGCGTAGGGTACCTGAGGCGACTCGCATGGGATAAAACAACCAGTAACATGGAAGAGTATCGCCTGTCATTTCTCATTTGTTTAAAAATTTCCATGACTGTTTGCCTCCCTGATAACGTGTGTTTCAAGGGGCTCTTTAACTGTACTTTTCCTCTTCTTTCCCCAGGGGAGTTCACTTAGAAGCCACCTTCTGTTTTACCTGCTTACCCTGCAGAGAGCCGCTGAGCCCTTCTAGTTACAGTGCAGGCTTACGGCATCGTAAACATTGCACTTAATGAGAGTGGAAGTGAGAGCTGATTGTCCTGTCTAAACTGCAGTTCACTCCAGCTTTAAACACCCTGTCCTCAGTTTTGGTCCTAGTCCTTGTACGATTTTCTCGTAAACTCTGATGTATGAGACTAACATCTGCTGCATCTGCTCTGTGGTTTGGAAGGGGACACAGAGATACAAGGACCCGTATCTTTCTGCTCAGGCTTGTCCTGTCCCGGGAAGCATTCTGATCACTGGTGCCCACCATCCTGCCCTCAGGTGAAGCAGTCCATTGCAGAGGACTCTAAGGAGTAGCAATAAATCTACTTCTCTCTTTCTTTTTTATTGTGAGAAAATATATGTAACATAAAATATATTCTGTCCATTTTTAAGCACATTCACTTTGTTGCACAGCCATCCCTACCATCCATCTCTAGAACTTTCTCGGTATCCTGAACTGAAACCTTGATTCTATTAAATGATAAGTCCCCATTACCCCTTCCACCTGGCTTGTGCCAGCCACCGTTCTAAGTACTTCTCCTTTTGAGGGGGTGCATTTATAAAAAGCAACCTAAGGTTAGAAGTCTTGAGATTTATATTTCTTTGCTCTAATTAGTATTAGCTTCAGGCATTGACTTCTGGCTTTACTTCTGCAGGCCACGGTGCCTGCTTGCACTTTGCTTATCTGGAGGTAGAGGCATGGCCGTCTTAGGTCCTGGTATTTACTTGCCTTTAGTGTTCAAACAGAACATGCTGGCCTCCGTGCGTTCTGTGAGAAAATCACCAGTAGCAGTGTGTTAGTGGTATGTGCCATGGAGACATGTGTAAGCCCAGCTCCACACCATTTAATAAATAAATTTAAAAAATTATTTATTTTGAGTAGACTCCATGCCCAGTGTGGGGCTTGAACTCATGACCGTGAGATCAAGAGTCAACATACTCTACTGACTAAGCTAGCCAGGTGCCCCTTAAGTCATTTTTTTTAAGTTTATTTATCTTTTTTTTAATGTTTATTTTTGAGAGAGAGACAGAGAGAGAGACAGAGCATGAATGGGGGAGAGACAGAGAGAGAGATGGAGAGAGAGAGGGAGATACAGAATCTGAAGCAGGCTCTAGGCTCCAGCTAACAGCATAGAGCCTGACACGGGGCTCGAACCCATGAATCGTGAGATCATAACCTGAATTGAAATTGAATGCTTAACCAACTGAGCCAGTTTATTTATTTATTTTGAGAGAGAGAGAAAGGGAGAGAGAGCATGTATGTGTGCAAGTGGGGGAGGGGCAGAGAGAATTCCAGGCAGGCTCTGCACTGTCAGCATAGAGTCAGACATGGGGCTAGAACCCACGCACCATGAGATCATGACCTGAGCTGAAGTTGGGCACTTAACTGACTGAACCATCCAGGCGCCCCATAAGTCGTTTTTAATAACATATTTTTCTTACTATAAAAGTAGTACATGTCCACTGCAGAAAAGTAGGCTGTACTGATAAGCGATAGGAACAAAATGAAAATCTCGCTCTCTAGCCCTAACCGCTATTTACATACGTCTTTTTCTATATTTGAATCCAGTTGAACCATATAAAATATCTTTTGCAGGTCAAAATTTTTGAATGTCAACAATTTCATATCCTTTCACACACAATGCACGTGTTATTTTGTAGCTTCTCACTTGAATTTTAGACACAGATGAGAATGTCTTCTCTCTGGAGGTTGGAGATAGTCTTGATAGAATTGCCATTTTTCAGTACCTTGCTCCCGTAGAGGAATTGTACTTATCACCGAACAATCGAGTTATTTTTAGCATACTGCCCCTGAGGAGTTTGAAGTCTGGGCCAGCGATAATTTCTGCTGATCTTCAAACTCTGAATACACTTGCGAGAGGAGAGGATAATTCTGGAACGCAGGATGGACACTGCTGGAGATAAGCATGGGAAGCTGCAGGAGGAGGGGTTGGAGTGTGGGCAGGGGTCAGCAGTCCTCTGCCGTCTTATCTTTTCCATAATTCTGCTCTGTGACCGTCAGCTCATATCGCTGTAACTTGATATTGATTTAACCGTGGGGTTGTCCGTAGTTCCTGGATAGGAATCCGAGTTCTGTGGCAGGAGGAGGCCCTACCTACCACTCCCAGTTTCCAGCCGTGGCGCCTTGAGTAACACCCTGAAGCTCTCAGCCTGTTTCCTCACAGTCAAATGGGCAGAAGTACTGCTTGCCTTACTTAGTCATTGGGCAATCGGAGTATCGAGAGGCATAATTTGAAAGGCATCTGTGAGCTGCAGGGGCCACACGTTGTCCTGACGTTGGCACTTATTCTTTTATTGTTTATTTTTGAGAGAGAGACAAAGTGTGAGCGGAAGAGGGGCAGAAAGAGAGGGAGACATAGAATCCAAAGCAGGATCCAGGCCCTGAGCTGTCAGCACAGAGCCCGACATGGGCTCACATAAGACCCAAAATAGCCAAAGTAATATTGAAGAAGAAAACCAAAACAGGAGGCATCACCCTCCCAGACTTTAGCCTCTACTACAAAGTTGTCATCATCAAGACAGTATGGTATTGGCACAAAAAAACCCAGACATATAGGCCAATGGAATAGAGAACTCAGAATTGGACCCACAAATGTATGGCCAACTAATCTTTGACCCAGAATGAAGCACAGCATTCCCGAGCTTACTCTTGTCTGGAAAAACAAAGGACTGTCCGCAGGTACTTTGAAGGGACAAGGCGTACACTTGTGCCAGTCGTGAGCATCTTCCAGCATTCTGAAAGATCAATGATTTCTGCAAACACCGTGGCCTGAGACTGAGCATCCGAGCATGGGAGATGATCACCCACCATCCCGCAGAGAGAGAAAGAACCATTGGTTCAGTTGCGATCATGTGACATTGGGTGTCCCGTACTGCTTGTACTGCAAGGCATCCCTTATGTATCAAGTTACAATTTATTAGAAGTGTTTGCTTGTCTTGTAGAATGCTCACAGGCAAAGTCACTCACAATCCAAGTTTTTAGTGTACTCCAAAGTGTAAACAAAATAGCAACTACAAACAGGTGATTTCAATCCCTTTGTCTTATTCAGTCTGAGTCTCCATTTCCTGCTTTGTCCTAGGCATTGACAGAGTATTGGCCTCAGTACTGGGCCACCCAGGGTGAGGTAGAAAGACAGGGCTGCAACCCAAGCAGAAACAACTGGTAAAGATGCAGGTGTCCTGTAATCAGTGCTAACGGAAGGCACAGACAGTCTGCGCTTGTCGGAGAGAGTTCCACTGGCCCGGGAAGTTGGGATGCCCACCTCTAGAAATGTAGCAAAAGTTCATATTCATTTCCTGCCTGCACAGAAGCTAGATCTGGGTTCCTTATAGACTCATATGGGATAACAGAATTCCTGCTGTGCATTTGAAGCAGCATAGAGTCCTGGGCTTAGAAAATTAAGGCTTCAGTTTATTTTTTTAATGTTTATTTTTGAGAGAGAGACAAAGTGTGAGCGGAAGAGGGGCAGAAAGAGAGGGAGACACAGAATCCAAAGCAGGCTCCAGGCCCTGAGCTGTCAGCACAGAGCCCGACATGGGGCTCGAACCCATGAACTGCGAGATCATGACCTGAGCCAAAGTTGGACACTTAAGTGTCTGAGTCACCGAGGTGCCCCAAGGCTTCAGTTGAAATCCTTGCTCCATCACTACTGTGATGGATGACCTTGAGCAAGTTATTGATGGTTGATCCTTAGTTACCTTTGGGTGGTGAGTAATGCTTTCTATATTGAAAAACCATTTCTATATGGTTATCAAAAATAACCCAACAAATAAGAGCCCTGGGGCAGATGGCTTCTCTGGGGAATTCTACCAGACATTTAAAACAGAATTAATACCCATTCTTCTCAAGCTATTCCAAAAAATAGAATTTGAAGGAAAACTTCTGGACTCATTTTATGAAGCCAGCATCACTTTGATTCCCAAGCCAGACAGAGACCCAGCAAAAAAAGAGAACTACAGGCCAATATCCTTGATGAATACGGATACAAAAATCCTCAACAAGATACTTGCAAATCGAATCCACAGCACATAAACAGAATTATCCACCAAGATCAAGTGGGATTCATTCCTGGGTTACAGGGCTGGTTCAATATTCGCAAATCAATCAATGTGACACATCATATTAACAAAAGAAAAGATAAAAACTATATGATCCTGTCGATAGATGCAGAAAAAGCATTTGACAGGATACAGCATCCCTTCTTAATAAAGACTCTTGAGAAAGTTGGGATAGAAGGAACTTACCTAAACATCATAAAAGCCATTTATGAGAAGCCCTCAGCTAACATCATCCTCAATGGAGAAAAAGTGAGAACTTTCCCCCTGAGATCAGGAGCACGACAGGGATGTCCACTCTCACCACTGTTGTTTAACATAGTGCTGGAAGTCCTATGCGTCAGCATCAGCAATCAGACAACAAAAGGAGGTCAGAGGCATCAGAATTGGTAAAGAAGAAGTCAAACTTTCCCTTTTTGCAGATGACATGATATTCTACATAGAAAACCCGACAGACTCCACCAGAAGCCTGCTAGAACTGATCCATGAAATCAACAATGTTGCAGGACACAAAATCAACGTACAGAAATCGGTTGCATTTTTATACACCAATAATGAGGAACAGAAAGAGAAATCAAGAAACTGATCCCATTCACAATTGCACACAAAACCATAAAATACCTAGGAATAAACCTAACCAAAGATATAGGAGATCTGTATGATGAAAACTATAGAAAACTTATGAAGGAGGTTGAAGAAGACACAAAGAAATGGATAAACATTCCATGCTCATGGGTCGCAAGAATAAATATTGTTAAAATGTCATTACTACCTAAAGCAATCTACACATTCAGTGCAATCCCCATCAAAATTGCACCAGCATTCTTCTCAAAACTAGAACAAACTATCCTAAAATTTGTGTGGAACCACAAAAGACCCCAAATAGCCAAAGTAATATTGAAGAAGAAAACCAAAACAGGAGGCATTACCCTCCCAGACTTTAGCCTCTACTACAAAGTTGTCATCATCAAGACAGTATGGTATTGGCACAAAAAACCCCAGACATACAGACCAATGGAATAGAGAACTCAGAATTGGACCCACAAATGTATGGCCAACTAATCTTTGACAAAGCAGGGAAGAGTATCCAATGGAAAAAAGATAGTCTCTTTAACAGATGGTGCTGGGAGAACTGGACAGCAACATGCAGAAAAATGAAGCTAGATCATTTTCTCACACCATACACAGAAATAAACTCAAAATGGATAAAGGACCTGAATGTGAGACAGGAAACCATCAAAACCCTAGAAGAGAAAGCAGGAAAAAACTCCTTGACCTCAACTGCAGCAATTTCTTACTTGACACATCCCCAAAGGCAAGGGAATCAAGAGCAAAATGAACTACTGGGACCTCATCAAGATAAAAAGCTTCTGCACGGCAAAGGTAACAATCCATAAAACTAATAGGCAGCTGACGGAATGGGAAAAGATAGTTGCAAATGACATATCAGATAATGGGGTAGTATCCAATATCTATAAGGAACTCATCAAACTCCACACCTGAAAAACAAATAATCCAGTGAAGAGATGGGCAGAAGACATGAACAGACACTTTTCCAAAGAGGACATCCAGATGGCCAATAGACACATGAAACAATGCTCAGCATCCCTCCTCGTCAGGGAAATACAAATCAAAACCACACTGAGATACCACCTCACACCGGTCAGAGTGGCTAAAATGAACAAATCAGGAGACTCTATATGCTGGCGAGGATTTGGAGAAATGGGCACCCTCCTACACTGCTGGTGGGAATGTAAACTGGTGCAACCCCTCTGGAAAACAATATGGAGGTTCCTCAAAAAATTAACAATAGAATTCCCCTATGACCCAGCAGTAGCAATGCTAGGAATTTATCCAAGGGATACAGGAGTGCTGACGCATAGGGGCACATGTCGCCCAATGTTCATAGCAGCACTCTCCACAATAGCCAAAACATGGAAAGAACCTAAGTGTCCATCAACTGATGAATGGATCAAGAAGATGTGGTATATTTATACCATGGAATGCTACATGGCAATGAGAAAGAATGAAACCTGGCCATTTGTAGCAACATGGATGGAACTAGAGGGTGTTATGCTGAGCGAAATAAGTCAGGCAAAGGACGGATACCATATGTTTGCACATATAGGTGGATTAGGAGGAAGTTAATGGAGGACTAAGCAGGAGAAAAAGGGGAAAGATAGTTGGGGAGAGGGAGGGAGGCAAACCATGATAGACTCTTGAATGCTGAGAACAAACTGAGGACTGAGGGGGGTGGGAGAGAGGAGCAGGGGGGAGATGGGCATGGAGGAGGGCACTTGTGGGGATGAGCACTGGGTGTTATATGGAAACCAACTTGACGATAAACTATTTAAGAAAGAAAAAAAGTGATGATGGTCTGTTTAGGTGCCATGCACTTATAATTATTATAATGGACAGGATCAGAATTCCATATTTGTCCTGTACACTGCCTGACAGGAAGTCCGACTGGCGTCCATGATACTGAAGGCCTTTTTAGGTCCAAAAAATGTTGAAATGTTGTCAGGGTGTATGTTGAGTGGGAGACTGGAGCATGGATCCTGAAGAAAAAGCATGGCTTGGTCATTTGTTTTGGGGAAGGGAAGAGAGGTGTTGGACATCTGAAACTTCAGGAAGGTAACCAGCTCTCAAATGCATGCCACTTGACACAGCATTCTGTATCTGGAAATTTACACTGTAGGCACACGCTGAGGGGTGCAGTACATGTTGCAAAGTTACTGTTTCACTGTTGTTGGTAATAGGAAATACTAGAAACAACCTAAGTGTTCATCAGGAAGGCGCAAGTTAAATCAGCTATGATACATCTGTGTATTTGAAGATTTTAGAGCTGTAAAAATGAATGAGGAAGCACTGAGCTTCAAGAGAATATTCCTCAGGAGAAAAACAAGGTGTATCTAGTACAGTACCAGAGGATGCTACCTTCTGTTTAAAAGGTGAGACAAATAAGATTTTATTTTTATTATTGCCCATATAAGCATAAGGAAATAAAGAAAGAAAATCTTAGGTATTCTAGAAATGAATAGTGTTCATATTTCCCTGAGGGTAGCATGAAAGTCTGGGGAACAGATAAGAGGGATACTTGTAACTCTGGGTGTGTTTGTTAATTTAAAAAATTCTTTGAACGACATAAATATATTACTTACTTGAAAATTTAAATGTCAAGTTTTTTTTTTTTTTTTTTTTTTTTACAAAGGAAAGAAGTTGTGTTTACAATCAGAAGGCAGGTGAGACTGCAGAAAACTTGTGGAGTAGTTCATACGTTATGACTAGCGAGTCGTATCCATGGAAATTTATTTGGGTAACAGAGCCATTTGTATCTTTTAGGTTTATGGTCAAGGTTTAAAAAGAGGTGTTTCAAGCTCATCAGGAAGATGCCTATTATTGGTCGCAAGGTAAGTGGAATCTGTATAGATCTTCCTCCCCTACTGCCACCCCCTTGATCATCGCCTCTTTCTTCTATTTGCCGAATCTGGTGCGAATTCCCAAGGGTGAGGGGCGATTTCGTTCCCCACCTCCAAGGAACATCTGACAATGTTTGAAGACGTTTTTAGTTCTCACAGCAGGAGGGGAGTGCTGTTGGCATGTAGTGGATGTGGCCAGAGGCGCTGCTGAGTATCCTGGGATCTTGCAGTGCACAGTGGAGACTTACCTGACTCAAAAATGCCAGAAGGGTCAAGATCCTGAGCATATTTGACCAAAGGAGAAAGGCCGTATCTGTTAAGGAAGAACTTGAAATTAGAAAACCTGACAGAAGCGGCATGATGCTTGAGGGCAACATTTGGCCGTGCTGACGTTAGCTGTGTGTCTGGGGTGGGTGCTTGCATGGCGTAGACCAGGCTTGGCAGACTTTCTCTGTAAAGGGCTAGACAGATAGAGGTCTAGACTTCACAGGCCATCCCATGTCTTTCAGAACTCTTCAAGCCTGTCCCCGCAGCGGGAAGGCAGAAGGGGGTGATGGGAAAGGGATGAGCTTGGCTGTGTTCCAGGGAAACCATCTTTACGAAACAGGCCGGGCTCAGATTTGGGCTGTAATTTGCTGACAGGGTTGGAAACTTAGCACTTTTCTCTTGCTCTTTGTACCTGTGTGCGGGATAGTGTGTTCCCTGCGCTGTGTCCTCTCTCCCCTCACCCGCGCTGAGGATAAGGCTGTCACCTCTGTACCCTTCCCTCAGGTTCCTTATCACACAAGGAGATAAACAGTGCAAGCCCCGTGCAAGCTCTGAAGAAGGCACATGAGTACCTGATGGCGGCATCTCCCCTTCCCCACCCTCCCCCGTGCCCTGCCTGCCTGCCCCTCAGCTTCAAGCTTCAAGCTTTCTTTCACTTTTGGCTCTCAATTCCTTTCCCTTTTCCCCTCACCTGACCAAACCTTTTAGAAAAGATGTCCGTCATCTTTAACCTTTGACCAAAATTCATTCAGATCCCTATGCCAACTCTCCCGTAACTCTATTTATTTTCAGGTTCATTTCCTATAGGGGAAGTAGAAGTAGTTATTGGGGGTAGAAAAGGGGAATGGGAGTAGATAGGCTTTTATTTGACTCCAAATCATCTTAAGCCCTAAAAGGAAATCTCCTTGAGTCCTGCTAGAGTTAAGGGGTAGGGAGGGGGCGGACTGGGTCTCGAAGGATGCTAGCATTTTCCCTTCTCCCTCCCTGTATCTTTCTGCTCTTTTTCTTCACACCTTTCTCCTTCGGTTTCAGATTTTGAGACAAATAAATTCCAGAAAGTATGATTAAATCCATAAAATAACAACTGGAAGGCACTTAAAAACTATATAATCAGCTTTCATTTTTTAGAAGCAGATTTGAGGCTCAGAGGCAAAAGTTCTTTGTGTCGAGTAAGTGTGTATATCACCATCTCATTCATTCCCATAAATGCACTTACTGAGCCTACGATGAGTGAGTACGTGCTCAGCATCAGATTCTACTCTGGGTGCTGGGGATACAGTGGGGAGCAAGACTCAGGTCCCTGCTCTGTGGAACTTACGTTTTTGTAGGAAAATCAGAAAATAGGTAAACACGTAAGAACTTCATTTTTTTTCAAGTTTATTTATTTTGAAAGAGTGCAAGTGGGGAGGGGCAGAGAGAGAGGGAGACAGAGAATCCCAAGCAGTTTGCTTGCTGTCAGCACGGAGCCTGACACAGGGCTCGAACTCACGAAACCTCGACATCATGACCTGAGCCGAAACCAAGAGAAGCTTAACCAGCTGAGCCAGCTAGGTGTCCCAAGAGTTTCATTTTGAAATAAATGTTGCGAAGAAGTTAAAATGGGATCGAGGTTCTGAGGCAGGAATTGGGGGGTGCTTTTTAATATAACTCATCATTTTTTGTCTCTTTCATTATAACAGCATAGTCTGCGCACTGAAGCTCAGCACTTTTTTTCTTTTAATGTTTATTTATTTTGAGAGAGAGAGAACCCAGTGAGGGAGGGGCAGAGAGAGAGGGAGAGAGAGAATCCCATGCAGGCTCCGAGCTGTCAGCGCAGAGCCCAACACAGGGCTCGAACTCAGGAGCTGTGAAATCAAGAGTCAGATGCTTAACCGACTGAGCCGCCCAGGTGCCCCAGAAACTCAGCTTCCGTAGTTTGTGCCTGTTGCACATTCTCCGTTAATGCAGCATAAGTCTCCTTGTACATTGTTAAAAGTATTTGCCTGTCTAGCCCATGCCTCACGGTGCCTGAGAGCAGGGGCCCTCCAGTCTGCCGGTGCTTGCTCGTTAGGCTGTGGCAGGAGTGTTTCGGAGGGTGGCTGTCCCTGTGGTGTCCCTGGGGGCCACATCTGAGAAGGCCCTCTTGTGTTCTGGTCATCCATAGCTACCGATGGGAAAATCTCAATGTTTGCAGTCAGACTACAGGCCTCCAACTTTCACCCGTGTGCTGCTGAAACATTCTCGCTGTGACACGCACGAAGTGTGACATGTAGCCCTTTTTCCAGATCTACTACCCTGCAGTCTCTTGGCTCAGATAGCAGCCCCTGCTCCGGTTTGTCTTGTTTTTTAAACTCTGTTTCTCCTTTCTGCCCCCAGCACTCCTCATTACCTGCCCTTCGTTTTCTGTCTCTGCTGCTAAATAAGCCTCCTGAGAAGAGGAGTTACTTTCACTAGGACTGCCTCCTTTACTTTGCTCACTGCGTATCCCTGGCCTACAGTAGGAGTTTAACAAAGTAGTTCACAGGCTGTGGTGGTGAGGATGAGGAAGAAATAGCCATAGTTGATGAACTGTAGCAGAAAGGACCCTAGCCCCTCCTAGCACCCGAGGGTCACATGGGACAGGCGGGGGACAACCTGATGAGGTAGAATGCACCCCCGGGATGTCTTGTGCCCACACATGATGAGTTATGGACGGCTTCCGGCTTCTGGGTGTGCCCCATGCACGCTTGTTTAAGGAACGCATCACCACCTGCTTGGGTACTAGGATCCCTCTCACTGCTTGGCTTATTCTCTGGATGCTGTTTGTGGCTCCACCTCGGTTTCGTTAGCACACACGTCGTAGCTGCTGCCAGGACAGGAAGGAGTGCCAAGTACTGCTCTCAGAGAGGTGCTGATGCTGGCAAACATGGACCACGTAAAGCAGTGGTGAGGTGAACGCAGCAGAAGAAAGGTGCGGGGAATTGGATGCGTCTTTAACTTTCAGAGAGAAAGCTGATGTCTCGTCTTCCAAGAGATGTTCCAAAAATATCGGGTGGTCAGAATGTCACTGCATCTTGTTAAGAACAAAATACCGTCCCGCTTTGTGTGCTTGTGTGGGGCCTGGCCTTGAGCAGTGGCCTTGGTCTTCTGCTCCCCACACTGTGTGCTTCCGTCTCCGTGTTAACTTTATCCCTCTTACCTTTGGAGATCCAAGATACCTTGAACAAGACCAAGGACGATATTAGCAAGAATATGTCGTTCCTGAAAGTGGACAAAGAGTACGTGAAAGCCCTGCCCTCTCAAGGTCTGAGCCCGTCCGCGGTTCTGGAGAAGCTCAAGGAATACAGCTCTATGGGTATGATTCTCGTCAGATGCCAGTGTTGGCTTCTTTAATGTGGTTGTTCTGGTCATCTTCTCGCGATTGTCTAGGTCAAGAACAGTTCATCCTTGGAACTTAGATGCTCATGAGAGCCCGCCCCCTGTCTCGGAGGCTGAGTTGCTTATTTTAAAAATTCTGTGTAAATTCATCCCACATCCATAAAGCAAAACAATCTCCGGAGACAGTGGGCCTTGGTCCCATTTCTGTTGGTAAGCCTGAATAAAACAGATACATTGGTCTGTTAAAAAAAGTAAAAATGAAATACGGTTCATTATAGAAATTGTGAAATCTGCACAAAGGCACAAGAAAATAAAAAGTGGCTCTAATTCCATCATCACAAGATATACACAGATGAGCTCCATATAGAAGTCAGAGGAGTCAGAGTGATTTTTGTGTAATACAAACACACGTACACGTACATGTATCTGCGGGAGCATATAAGGGAAGGATAAATATACCAAGTAGCTTAATACCTAAGAGTGTAGCCCATGGACTCAGCCTGGATTCCTGCCCTGGTTGGGCCATTTAAATATGATCTTGAGTTCCTTGACCTATGTCTCAGTCTCTGTCTTTCTCCATTGGGGATAATGATAATAGAACTTACTTGAAAAGCATAATTATAGAGATTAAACCAGATTGTACAGGTAAATATATAATAACTGGCATATAGTAAGTACTCAATAAATGTTAACTATTATGAATACAAATATGTGTTTGTTACAGATTAAGATTATATTACACATATTTTAAAAATAGGCTTTTTGGTTTGTCATGATTTTAGTTAGATTTAAAGAGAATTTGCAAACAACATACTACAGAGATTTCCCATACACCCCTCACCCAGCTTCTCCTGATGTTAGCATCTAAAGTAACCACGATAACACTGGTTGAAATAGTAGTTAACTAAACTGTTTCTTAATTTTTGAAGGAGAGGGAGACAGAGCGTGAGCTGGGGAGGGGCAGAGAGAGAAGGAGATACAGAATCCGAGGCAGGCTCCAGGCTCTGAGCTGTCAGCACGCAGCCCGATGTGGGGCTTGAACTCACGAACTGTGAGATCATGACCTGAGCTGAAGTCAGATGCTTAACCGACTGAACAACCCAGGTGCCCCTAAACTGCAAATTCAATTCCTATTTTGCCAGCCTTTCCACTAATGTCCTTTTTTCTGTTCTAAGATCCAGTCCAGCATACTGCATTGCATTTCAACAAATACACTCAAAATTTTCTAATTGATGTGTTGAGTTTTTGACCTTGGATTGTGTGAAATTAGATGCAGTCTGGATTTATAGATGATGTAAAGCAGGGACCGGCACTCTGAGCCCTGTGGACTACAGATTTCCAGGGTTACGAGGGCAGATTGCTGCCACTATATTTCCTTCCCTTCCATCTGTAACCCCTCGTCCGTTGCCATACTCTGCAGCACAGGTAAAATAACAGGAAATGAAACCAGGCATCCTAATTTTGAACAGCTGGTGGCCTCTAATCTGAAGACATGCATGGTACAGTCCAGTGTCCTCTAAGGAAGAGGCAAGTCATGCCGGCAGTAAGCCACAGTTCGGCAGAGGAGCTGAGAATGAGGATGTTCACTGCTCAGTCTTCTGCTGTCCTGTTGGAGCTGAAGATCTCGGCTTGATAGAGCCCATGGCTCTGGTTGTTGGCCGGTGTGTTTCTGTAATCGCTTTCTCGCTGTGCACTTTCAGTAGGGCACAGCCGTGTTGTGTGTGGCGAAAGGACCCGAGACACCCACACTGGCAGGTTGGTTGATAGCAGTGTAGACTCTCTGGAGAAGCACCTGAGACAGGAAGTGGAAAGTCAGACCTCATGTTGTGGTCAGGACCCTTTCCTCTGAGCTTTATCCCAGTGTTGGCTGCGTTCCTGATGCCGAGGGCTGACCGCATAGGTTGCTAGAAGGACATGGCTAATTGTTGAGGGGGGCGGGGGGTGGGTTCCATGTGAAGGAGGGGCTGCTGGGACCAGGGACTGATGGTACGCACACCATCATAGTTTGTCTGGTCAGGGGTTCAGTTCCCGGACTCCAACTCTGATGAGAGTGAACTGACAGTTCATACTTTCTGCCAACTCTGCTCGTAACACTCCTCACACTTCCTTTGACTGGATAGGAAGGGAGAGAAGAAGGAACCTATTGCAGAAAAAGTCAAGTTAGTCATACAGAGACCAGAAAATGAATGTAAATAAAGGAAAAATTTTCTCCTGTTAGAAGACAGTTGGGGATGATGACATCATCATTGGACTGTATATATTTTTAATATTTTAATGCTTATTTATTTTTGAGAGAGAGACCAAGCGGAGGAGACAAGCAAGGGAGAAGCGGAGAGAGAGGGAGACACAGAATTCAAAGCAGGTTCCAGGCTCTGAGCTGTCAGCACATAGCTGGATGCGGGGCTCGAACCTATAGACTGAGATCATGACCTGAGCCATAGTCAGATGCTCAACCAACTGGGCCACCCAGGCACCCCTGGACTATCCTTATTATACCTGGACACTGTTAATATCCTTTTCACACTGTTGTTGATAGTCATGGAAGATCTTTCATCTTTATTTTGTTGTGATAGCTCTTAACCAGAATTCTTTTTCTTGATTTATTATAAGAACGCCTTTGGGTTTCCACTCAAAATTTGGTTTTTCTTTTGTACCAGTGGTGTTAACTTCTTATCTCTTCTTTAATAGAAGCCAAGTGCCTTCCCTTAAGTTCCTGTTTACTGACCCGCTGGTCTTGACTTTCTCTGCAGATGTCTTCTGGCAAGAAGGGAAGGCATCCGGAGCCGTGTACAGTGGGGAGGAGGAGCTCACCGAGCTCCTCGTGAAGGTGAGTGCCACTCAGTTCTTCTCCTGATTTGTGAAATTAAAATAAAATGTTACTAGGGGCACGTGGGTGGCTTAGTCAGTTAAGTGTCTGACTTCAGCTCAGCTTCAGATCTCACAGCTCAGGTGATGATCTCTCAATTTGTGGGTTCGAGCCCCATGTCGGACTCTGTGCTGACAGCTCAGAGCCTGGAGCTTACTTCGGATTCTGTGTCTCCCTTCCTCTCTGCCCCTCCCCCACTTGGGTACGTACTTACTTTCTCCTTCTCAAAAAATAAATAAACATTAAAAAAATTACTTAAGGAAAACTTATTGTTAAAAATAAGTTCAGAAAGTCTCTCTTTACCCACACATAGGTGAATATGAATAATATTGTCAGAGACCTCTTCAGTCCATAAAATGTACAATATTACTTGTTTTTAGGCTTTATAGATGCCCCATGTAGAAGGCAGATTACTAGGGAAGGTAGTCCCCCATCATTTGAGGTTATTAGTGACCAGACATATTTTGTTTGCTAAGAAGGGATGAGGAACAGAAACTTGGTTATCATTTCCTGTAATACCCACGTCTCAAATCAGATGATCTGAGAATGAGCTTACTCATAATTCAGATAATTCTCATTTTTGGTCGACTTTAGAGTTGCCCATAGCTTCTTCCTTTTCTAATCAGATTTATTTCTTAAACCCTACTTTGTCATGTAAAATGGGCATTGGCCTTATAGTCTCTAAGTTCTTTGTGTTTGATTATAATAACTATGAAACTCCTCATACCTACTAATATTATAGGTTTTGCTCAGCTATATCTTGACATAATGCTCTGACTTTTTTCTCTGCATAAAAAATTTATCAGTGGTGAGGCGCCTGGGTGGCTCAGTCAATTAAGTGTCTGACTCTTGATTTTGGCTCAGGTCATGATCTCATCGCCCTGAGACCCAGCCCTGCTTTGGGTTCCATGCCGAGTGTAGAGCCTACTCCGGATTTTCTCTCTGTCTCTCTCCCCCTCTCCCCTACTTGTGCTCCCTCTCTCTCTCTCTCCAAAACAAACAAAAGCAAAAACCACACACAAAAAAACAAAAACAAAAAAATTTTCAGTGGCTTCCCACCACCTACAGGGTAATACCCAAGCTGCTTACATAGCAGAAAATGTCAGCCCCGTCATAAGCCAGCTTCCACCTGTTTTCCAACCACGTCTGTTACTTTCCCATATAGCCTCTTCTCTTCACTGTGCATAGCTCACTTATATCATGTTTTCCTCCCCTTCATTCCAGCTGTTCTAAATGATGAACTCCTATCGATCTCTCAAATTCCTATTGATTGCACTCTGCAGACGCCTCAGACCACTGGGGCTGTCGGTTATTCCCTCCTTAGGGCTCCTTCCCTTGCTCACATGCTTCTGATACCACCCTGACAACAAGGGCTGCGCTCTGCTGCATGCCCTCCTAGGTGCTTTGCATGCACGCTGTGTTGTTTACGTATCACTAGAGCACTATCAGGTAGGGGCCGAATTATCCCCCAGAAAATCTGAGGAAGCAACCTCAGAGAGGTCATTTGACCTCTTTGAGTACACAATCAGAAGTAACAGGCAAAGCTAAGGTTGCAGAATGGGTCTGTTTGGTGTCTTAGTATGTGCTTTAAACCACATTCATACTTCCTCTCTCACCACACTGTAAAATGATTGATTTGCACATCTGTTTCCTCCACTATAGTTGGATCTTCTTTATGTTGGGAACATATTTTTTTTTTTTTTTAATGTTTTATTTATTTCTGAGAGAGAGAGAGACAGCGTGAGCAGGGGAGGGTCAGAAAGAGAGGGAGATACAGAATCTGAAACAGGCTCTAGGCTCTGAGCTGGCTGTCAGCATAGAGCCCAATGCGGGGCTTGAACCCACTAACTATGAGATCATGACCTGAGCCGAAGTCGGACGCTTAACTGACTGAGCCACCCATGTGCCCCTGTTGGGAACATATCTTAACTGTTCTTCCGACTTCTAGTGCTGTGCCTGATACCTAGAAACCTTTGTGTAGTGCATGGTTCTTTGTCACGGTGTGTTTATCATACTTCATATCTGCTTGCGTTTCTTTGCAGGCTTACGGAAACTTTGCATGGAGTAATCCATTACATCCAGATATCTTCCCAGGACTGCGAAAGATCGAGGCAGAGATTGTGAGAATAGCTTGTTCACTGTTCAACGGGGGGCCGGATTCCTGTGGATGTGTAAGTATATGCAGGTAGTCTCCAACTTTCTTGGTTTTTTAGCTTAAAGTAGAAGCCTTTGTTGAAAACATTTTATTATACTCTTAATATGGTGATTATTGTAGGAAGATCCAGATGAACAGCCATGTAAAAATGTTAAGTTTTGCAATTAAAAGAAAATGTTTTTTTAAGTTTATTTATTTTGAGAGAGAAAGAGTCGGAGCAGGGGAGAAGCAGAGAGAGAAGGAGAGAGAGAAATCCCAAGCAGGCTTCACACTGTCATCACAGAGCCCCACGCGGGGCTCGATCTCACAGTCTGTGAGATATTGACCTGAGTGAACCAAGAGTCAGGAACTTAACCCACTGAGCCGCCCAGGTGCCCCAACTTTTATAGTTTTCAGAGCATCGACATTTTATTGGACATTTTTAAAGATATTTTTTTTCTTTTCAGGTTTTTATTTCAAAAATTTTAAACTTACATGAGTTCCTATAATAGTTTAGAGAACACCCTGAGTTCACTAAATGTAAATGCTTTGTACATCTGCTCTGTCCCTCTCCCTCCCTCTTTCATCCATCAACCGACGCACCCACTCCCTACCCGTTGGTCTATATAATTCTGTCAAACCATCATAGTGTTTTTGATATACTTCTCATTTTACTTGAGCTGGACATTTACGTTTTTATTTTGCTGTAAGTTGAATCTCATTTAGTTGGTTTAGGAATAAAGGAAGGGGAGATTATCATTCTGTTTCAAGACACACACGAGGATTTTTCGTTTCAGCTCTTCTTTCTAGTAGATGTTTGTTTGTTAATTTTCCTAAACTGTGATGGATAAGCTTCGGTTTACATTTGTGACTAAAGACTGATCCTTGCTTTCTCTAGAAAAAATTCAAAGTCTCAATCTCTGCTTATGCAGCGTAGTTAGATTTAACCCCGCATGCTGTACTGGTAACCTAGAGGTACTAAGCCTCTCGGATGCTGTTATAATCATTATGAAGTCTGCAGATTTAACTATTGAAGGGCCCGTCCAAAGGCAAGAATGTTTTACAGTTTTTTGTTTTTTCCAATAAGCAGTGTTATTTCTCTTTATGTCGGCACTATGAAAGTTCGACACGTTTGTATATTCTGTATCTAACAGAATGGTACTCCAGGCATTCGTTTCCCCCTAGAACTCCAACGCTGTTAAAAACAGAGCCAACCGCAATCCAGCAATGGGCTCCTTCGTGGCATTTATATGAACAGGGGACACAGGGGGAGATGCCTGTATGCTTACAGTATGTGGCACATTCTCCTGGGCCACAGACTCAGTGGACTTTTAAGAGGCCATTGGTGAAGCAACCAGAGAACAATTCGGCCTTGTCTGGTCAAGTTGAAGATACACGTATCTCATGACCCTGAAATGTCACTACTCAGGGTGTTTGTACCATAGTTTTGAAAACTGGGACATGTGTGTTGGGTAGATGTATACTCAGAGCACCGCTGCCCGTGAGAGCTGGAAACTGGCAGTAACCCAGGTGTCTGTCAACAGTGGCGTGGAACATTGGAGAATACTCTATGTGCTTTAGTCCTTTGGAGCCGCTGCTCTGATTGATGCTCAGATTAGCCCATTTTGACCAGCGGGAGCCTCTTAGTTTTGGCTCTTGGGTCCTTTTGTGTGACTCAAGTGGTCTTTGAAAGCTTCCTTTTTTTTCTTTTTTTTTTTTTATTTGAGAAAATACTTTTATTTGATGAAATATTCCAGGTTGACTTTGTGTGCTTCTAGACCCCAGATTCAGCCATTTGTCCAAAGAGCCCAGTCTCATTTAGAACTCTGTAAAATACTGACATGGTTAGTAAGTCAAATTTATGGAACAAAGTAGATAAAAATTCAACCAGAATAAAATCTAAAGAGACAAGTAGAAGGCACAGAGGAGGTTGAGAGCCATGAGGCGAGAGTGAGAGGGGCTGACACACGTGTGGCAGGTGGTTAAGTAGCCAGGAGACACGGGGAATCGGGAGTGGCGGAGCTGTTAGGGCAGCTGCTGTTCTACAGAGTGGCAGTGGTGGCGGCTGGGGTGTCTGCGGGGAGAGGGAAGACGGGCTGTGAGGTCCTAATCGTTGGGGCCAGGAGATAATTACAGGGGTTTCATCGATTCAGGTAACTAATTAACTAATTTTCAAAGTAAGCTCTGTGCCCAACGTGTGGCTTGAACTCCACGTCAAGCATCACATGCTTTACGGACTGAGCCAGCCAGGCCCCCCGCAGGTGTTCTTTCCCGTTCCTTTCCTTGGCTGCTATTTTATTAAAATATATTGCACGTAATTATTTTATATTCTGTGTCTGATAATTCAGCTACTCCTGAGCCTTAATCTGTCTGTCTCTGCTGGTCTCATGCATGTTGTCTTATCCTATTTGTGATTTTGTTGTTGTGTTTAACTACGCCGCTCATCTTCCCAGGAGCCTGTCTTCGAGGCCTGGATGTAAATTAAGCCCTTGCACAGAAAGCGTGCAGCATCCTGCCCATGCAGGGACTCGCCAGGAACCGATCTGCATCTAACGCTCCACTTGCAGCCTCATGCTGCGGCGGTGGTGCGGGGTCACACTGTAGACTCGTGAAAGCGTCTTGTTATCCCTTCCTGAGACTTCCTTGTTCTTCCTCACCCAAGCCTCAGGGCCCAGGACGCAGTTCTCTTGCTGCCCTCTTCTGCACCACTGGGGTTTAGTTCTTGTCCCCCCGAGAATGTGGGTGCAGGTTCCAGGACTTCAGCTGTGTGCTGGCAGAGGCCTTCCCAGGGGCAGGCCCTGAGTTGATCTCCTGTCACTTGTCACAGCGGGCCTGGTGTCCAGGGATGGCAGCAGCTCTCACAGTTGGGGCTGCTTTGGCACCCCCGTGTCTGTAGGTTTCTGGATTGCGCTCTATGTGGGTTCAGTATATTCCTTCTTGTTAGCTCAGCAGTGGGTGTAAGAAATGCTTACTGTTTTCTCCGACTTCTCTGTTGTTTCTCGTGGGAGGGTGGACGGCCCAGCTGTAGGGTCTGTAGTGCTGGAGTTCCATGATCGGTGGTGTTTTCCCACGTGACCTTTGCCCACTCGCAGCCTCTTTCCCTCCGGGTCTTCTCTTTCAGGCGACTCAGCTGTTCCTTAGAGAATGGGATTTCCCAGATTGGTGACCGTCCCTGTGCTTCCTGTCGGAACCCCTTTTGGTTACCTGTGTCTAGCCCGATGGACGCAACTCTCCAGGTGTGGAGTGGCGTCCATCTTTCAGTCAGTCTTTTTCTGATCTGGTTCGCTAAACTTGCCTCACCCTTTCCTCCCAGTCATCGTGTTTATTCTCGGCAGTGTTTGTTCTGCTCCCCGTGCCTTCATCCGGTGTTGGTACTTTGGTACTTTGTGTTTTGGGGTCTGTGGTTCTCATTCTCTTCTTTTTGGTGTCCAGTCTTTCAAGGCGTGCTTTCTTGAATTCATGTCCTTCTCCTGTTGTCCCGTAGTGGCAGACAGGTGTGTGGAACCCCCTTCTCCTCCTTCGGCTGGTATCTTTTGAGTTAGGCTTTGGTTTTGCATGCTGCTTTTTTTTCTTTTTGTATGTTTGCCTGGTTACCGTACCATTTTCTTTCACCTTGGCTCATGCTCCTCAGAACATTCTATTTTGTTCTGATGCACACTGGCTGATTTCTCACGTGAGAGCGTTTGGTTGAGGGCCCTTAGTTCCACCTGTGTTGAATTAGCTGGGTCTCTTCTGAGATTCTGTTAAGAGTTCTCAGAGTTCACTCTGCCTGGTTGAAAGAGACTAATACCCTTGGGCTTTGATCATTTCTGTAACCCCTCCTGTATCCCTGGAGCCTTGACTTTGAGGGGTCAGTCCCGACATTCTCTTCATTTTGCTTGTTTCTCCCTAGCCGCCAGGTCTACCACTCACTGATCTGAAGATAAGGGCACCCCCTCCACTTGTTTCTCTGAAGATTTGAGGGCTTTGATGAGAATTCTCAGGATTTTGCTGGCTCACAGGACACTTTTCAGGGCCTGGAGGGCGGATCAGGAACTGTTCTGCCATCTGCTACGCTTTAGAAACTTCTCTTTTTCTCCTTGCCAGTATCGAAGTGTATTGCTTCCGATTATCTGTTTCTTTGGTGATTGTTATTGTAGGTTTCTGCTACTTTTTTCTTCCTTCTTCTAGGTCCTGGGGGAGAGAAAGTAGTTGTGGGGCAGTTTCAGTCTTCCATCTTAATCCAGAAGTCAAACCCTGGTTTTTTTTGTGTGTGTGTTTTTTTGTTTTTTTTTTTGATGTTGTTGTTGTTTTGTTTTCATTTTTGATTTTTGCATTGCTGCAATTAAACCATGCCTCTTCCATTATGGTCTTTTTTAGTGGATATGTCAGGGATCAGGAGAAGGATGGAGTCTTTTCTATTTCTATTTTCTGTCTTTCCCAGAGAACTAATTACCTCTGGGACTATTTGAGTTTCTCTGTTTTTCTCCCCCTTCTCTGTTTCTCTGTCTCTCCCTTACTCTCTCTTTCTCTCTCTCTTACATCTCTTTCTCTCTCTCTCTTACATCTCTCTCTCTCTCTCTCTCTCTCTCTCTCCCTCCCCCCATCTCTTGATGAGCTGTTTTGGGTGAAAGTGGTTCGGAGATCGGAGATGGAAAGAAGACAACAGAGCCTCAGGGCTGGGCAGTCTGTAGCATGTTCCCGGCTAAGGTCTTAGGTCTTTCCGTTCTTTGTTCATCAACTTAAACTGTCTCTGTTTATGAACTTCACTTGCCTCAGGACAAATGAGAGGTTATTTCATATACTAAAAGAAATTCTGTTGCCATGGAGAACAGTCTTGGCTTGTGCAAATGCCTTTGAGTCCAGACAGCTTCTGAAAGAAAATTCCCCAAAGCAGGCCAAGTTCTACTCTTGTTCCCCAACGTACTTACATATTAACAGCGAGAGTTTTTATAATGCTGGAAGAAGTTGACTAAGTCACAAATAGTTATTGAGCTTTTCTTATTTCACAATCAAATTTACATGGGTCTGGGAGGTTAGCAGCATAGTTAAACACAGAATTGGAGCACCTGGCTGGCTTAGTTGGAAGAGCATTGCTACTCTTGATCTCAGGGTTGTGGTTCAAACCCCATGTTGGGCATGGAGCCTACTTAATAAAAATTACACAGAAGTAAACAAACATAGAAATTGGGGGATCAGCAATAAAAATTAGAGGTGGAATGTAGGTATTCCTGCTTTTATAGTCAAAGTGCACTGTTGTTTGCCCAACAAATAATGATGTTGATTTAATTTGTTATTGGACTAAAAATAGGGCGTGTATACTGGGTGACTAGGGGTTTGGAAATACCTTTGCTTGGGTCATCACGGGCCCTTAGTAAGAGATTGATGCACCAGAGACCTGGACGTTGCTGGTCCTTTCTGGACTTTCTTCACAGCTGGTTTGGCTCCTCATGTGACATTCTGAGGGTTTATGCTAGACCGCAGCACGTGCTGCTCCTATGCAGAGCTCCCCGCCTCCGCAAGCATTTTTATCTTCTCCGGCATACAAGTTCAGGGACCCGTAAAGAGTCCCCTGTGCCCATGTTCAGTGTGTTACCTTGTGGGTGACGGTCACAGGTTTCACAAAGACTTCTTGAATCAAAATATGACGGACTTCTCTCAGCTAATCGTCCACGTGACTGCTGACCCCTGGGATTTTGTATCCAGCAGAATTTTTGTTCTATCTGTGGTTATTTTAGGAAACTTCAGAAATGGCTGTCTCTCTTCCATCTCCTGTTAAGCCACACTAAATGCACAAGTGTAGAAAGTATTACTTCTCATCAGCAGATGCTCACAGATGGCATTGGTGGATTATTTTAGTCTTCAGGGCTCACCTTTCTAGCTGTGTAATGAGAAAGTTATCTAAGCTTGTATGGACCGTCGGAGATGAAAGATCTAAGAAAATAACCACCTAGCTCAGTGCTGTGGCTTTTTGTTTGTTTGCTTTGAAATGATTCATTCTTAGGTGTCGTCAGAGAATAGCCTGATTGGGAATGCCTGCCTGTGTTGGTCACGGTTTACCGAGAGTCCCACCAGGCTGCGAGAAGTGTTAGTTAAGGTGGTGTTAGGTGTCAGCTGTTAGACTAGGTGCTCGGAACATTGTCATGAGCACATTGGCCCCTCACTTCATGAGTTTGTAGTCCAGCGAGGGAGAGCGGGTGCATGACAGGCCCTCTGAGTGCTGGGAATCAAGATCGGACTTAGCCGATAAAGCCAGATTTCCTTCTAGTACACATTGCAGTGTCTGCTCTGCAGAATGCATTCTAGATCTTATCGGCTTCTGCATCAGACTCCATCAAGATCAAGGTGGGAAGTGCATGCTGATCGTTGGCCCTCACTCCATTCCACGGATGGCATCTCTTCTTCATTACAGGTGACCTCTGGGGGAACAGAAAGCATACTGATGGCCTGCAAAGCTTACCGGGACCTGGCCTTTGCGAACGGGATCAGAACTCCAGAAATGTATGTGTGTGTGGCCTTCAGGCGGTCCGTCTGGAGTACTGCTGTTGGGGACAGCCTGACCACCTGTTTTCTGCCGTGTCCCTTCCCTCCTCCTCTGCAGTTCCTCATTCTTCCTTTCCTGTGCCCTTGACCCTTATCCCTTCACATCTTGCAACCTCCTGGGTGGACCAGCCTGTTAATTTTAAAGGTCATTCCCCTTCCCAGCCCCCGAGTTTATACGTGGTGTGCACTGAAAGCAAGAATGGGAGCCTTTTTCTAAAGGTGACAGAGTCACAGGACTCCATCTTTGAATTCTGGGATATTTATTATAAGTAACGCAGAGCCTAAGGAAAACTCTCTCATTACCTCAGTTCAGTGAAAGTTACTTAAATACAATAGGCTGCCTCGGGTGCTCCCTAAGAAGGTTTCAGCCTGAGGCTGTTATTTTTTGGGGGGGGGAGTTTTAAAACAATTTTTGAGATTCATCCATAATGCCACCCCATGGATGTAATTTTGAGATTTGGCTGCATTTTCTTCCCCAGACCCTCTCCTTATCCAGTGTGTTTGTACCACAGCCTCTGGGTTACTGTTTTCCTGAAAATGTCAGTGACTAAGTGTTTTGTTGCACATGATCTCCTGCCTGAGAGAATAAATCAAGTGCCGTCCTTCTCATACATAAATCTTAGTGCCTGGTACTTACTCAGGAAGTACCTTACTTTCCTTTCTGAAGGGGAATGCATCGATTTTGAGGCTGTAGTAACTGAGAGAAGTCTGAGTATGTACCCATGGCTCAGTCTCCTTTTCAGTGCCATTTGCCTTTTTTTTTTTTTTTTTTAAAGTAAGCACTGTGCCCAGCGTGGGGCTTGAACTCACGGGCCCAAGATCAAGAGTTGCATACTCTACCAGTGGAGCCCAACAGGCGCCCCTGCTTCAGTGCTGTTTCAAGGGCTGCTTCCAAGCTTGTAGGAGCGGTGGGAACTTGAGTTTCTCACAGGCTGTGGGCTTCAGAGAGGGAAGGAACCGCCAACCTGCTGGAACACCCCCACCAAGCAGTCTTGGGTCCCTGCTTGGCTGTGCGTCGCGTCAGGCAGCATGTCCCCAGCAAGGCTGTCCCCAGCTTTGGCTGGCCAACAGGAGAGGGCTCTGCCTGATGCTAAGCTGATCCAAATGCCCGGTCCCTCATCTTCTACCTGTCAGCCCTCATTTACACTTTGGGTTTCCTAAATCACAGGGAGATTTCTGTAGAAGATCATTTGGCTGACCTCTTTTTGTTTGTGGTTCAAAAGAAAAACAGTATAAACGCTTATAAAAATGCAAGGAAAAAGAATCAGAAGTTTGCTCCTGGGGATAAAGATGAGCCGCAGGCTGTCCCTCGAACCCTGCTTTTATCTGAATCTCATTTCTTCTCCGCCGTTTAGTGTGGCCCCCCAGAGTGCCCATGCTGCATTTGACAAAGCAGCCCATTACTTTGGGATGAAGATTATACGGGTTCCGCTGAACAAAATGATGGAGGTGGATATTCGGGTGAGTACCCTGAAGGGCCATTTCCTGCCAGGGACTGTGAGGTGCAGGGATGCACCTACCCGCCCGGCTTTTCCCAGCGTTGGGCACAGAGGGGCTCCCGAGGCCTCGGGCCGCGGCGGCTGGAGCCAACGAGCTGCTGCTGGCAGTGGTGAGTGCATGTGATCTGCGAGCTCTGACGGCAAGATGAGCCGTCCACGCTCCGCAGACCCGGATATTGCTTCAGCAACCTCACCCTCTCCTCTCTCTTTGTACCGTGAGCACGGACTGACCTGCCCCCAGACCCTTCTTGTGGTTTTCATTGGCCTGAGTCGGTGTCCTTGCCAACAGAATAGTGACAATGTTATTCAGAACCTAGCTACTCAGGTTAGTAGCACTAGCATCATTGCTGCCCGCCATCTTTACTCACATCCTACCTGACCAGTTAACGGGTTGACAGATAAAAACTGTATATATGTCAGGTGCCACCTTGATGCTTTGAGATATGTAAACACTGCAAAATAATCCCCACAGTGCTGCTGTTGAACATACCCAACTCCTCAAATAGTTACTGTTGGCTTTTTCTTTCTTTCTTTTTTTTTTTTTTGTTCCCCTCCGTGGTTGGAATCCTTTAGACTCCCCTCCAACCTCCAGCTGGTTTCAGGCACACAGTGCAGTGCTGTTATGTCGTGGCCACGTGGCCCTGCGCTGGCTGCCCACAACTTCCCGTCAGGGGTCGCAGATGCTCAGGGCTCCTCTCCTCCCACCTCCAGCCAGCAGCGTTCCACACTTGAATTCTGAGATGGGCTGCCATACATGCCATGGGTGGGAGGTCTCGCAGGATTTACCTTGCCAGCCCCGTCGTGGCAGAATGCTCCCAGGCTCACCCATGTTGTCACAAATGGCATGCTTCCTTTTTTTAGGCTGATTAGTAGTCCTTTATCTTTATGCCTTGCCTTCGTGGCTGAACTTTCTAGTTTCTAGCATGCTACACAGATTGCATCCGAGCCTTATTACAGCCCAGGGAAGTTGTAGAAGCTGATAGGTAGTAATCGCAGTGCACAGGCCAGGAGACAGAGCAGGGGCAGTTAAGTAGTTTCCCTCTGGAGTCAGCGCTAGTGAGTGGACCGGACTTGTTCCGCCCTGTTTCCTCCCACAGTGATTTGCCGCCTTGTGGCCTCAGACTGTTTTTGCCTGGAGGGACCCCTCTGGCCTGGTTTCTATGCTGCCCCCATGGGAGAAGAGAGGTGGAGGCGGCGGCGCTGGCTGAGCGCAGACCCTGAGCTGGCAGTAGCGGCGGCAGAGGAGAGTGAGGTGGATGTGGCTTCTGATTTTCCTTTTGGCTTTAATCCCCTAGGCGATGAGGAGAGCCATCTCCAGGAACACCGCCATGCTTGTCTGTTCAACCCCCCAGTTTCCTCATGGCATCCTAGATCCGGTCCCTGAAGTAGCCAAGGTACGTGGGAGAAATGTGCTGCGAGGCAATCAGGTTGAGACCTTACAATAGAATCTGATGGTGTGGGACTCGGCGGGGAGAAGCGAGTGTGCATTCTGATTCATGCCCAAATCCCAGGAGCCCCAGAAGAAGCCCTCCAGCAACCTTCAGAGCCTCTGCCCTAAGGGAGAGGTGACACAAGGTAGAACCTTCATTGAAGCCGGATACTCTGGACACAGAGAGCACTGCTGTTTCTATTCAGCCAGGAGATGAGCTGCTCGTTAGGGGCGTGCCCAGCAGGGGGCGGTGTCCAGGGGTGCCCCCCCACCCAGCCGCTACTAGTGCAGGACCTTTTCCCCCTAAATCAGAGCATTATTGTGTCCTGCTTGGCTTTGCAGTGAGTTTGGGGCCCGGCATATGTAAATATAAAATGCCACATTTCAGATGAATTCTTTTGAAGGCTAAATACATTTGAAAGATGAGCTTTCTCAGGAGTGTCAAAACCAGCCTGTTTTTTTAAAACCTGAAAGCCATCGTGCATAATGGCCTTGGGATGACAGCACACCTCTCCACCTGTGTCTTGTGATGTTATTGTTAGACGGCTGTAAATGAAATTCTCTTGTGATCTGTTCTGGAACAGCTGGCTGTCAAATACAAAATACCTCTCCATGTGGACGCATGTCTGGGGGGCTTCCTCATCGTCTTCATGGAGAAAGCAGGGTACCCGCTGGAGCAGCCGTTTGATTTCCGGGTGAAAGGTGTCACCAGCATTTCGGCTGATACCCACAAGGTGAGGTGGGGAAGGACCGAATGCTCATCGAAGTTGGCATTTGATGATTTTGACTGTTGTCAACAAAATGAATTGATCAGAGTGTCAGCTTCTGCCAAAAAATGTAAAAGTAAATCTGGCTCTGTGCTGTCACCGCGGTAGCTGGTTCAGGTGATGAGTGATAGTGAAAAGAGACCCGTTATCTTGGTGGCATGTGGCTAAGAGCATTTCTGTACCCGCTGACCGTATGTGACTGGGACATGCTAGCACCTATGCGTGTGGCCCATAGAACAAAGTTCCCCGAAGCTTTGAGGGATGGAGGTGGGGGTGAGGTCGATGGTGGAATTCCTAGGAGGGTGTGTGTTGGTGCTGTAGCTCCTCACCGCTGGGGCTACTGGCCTGCGTGACGAGGGCGGGCTGACGGGCGGGTCCTGTGGAGAAAGGGAAGACCTTAGGTGCTTAGCAATGTCTGGATGCCACCACCCCAGTGGACGGAGAGCAAGTCTGGGTTGGTCAGGAGCACTTTGAGGCTGCGTGCAGACGTGGGGAAGGAACAGTGGCCTCAGGAGCGCATGCCTCGTTTTGACTGCACTGCAGAGCTCGTTTTAATCTCAAGTGTAGCGGGGACTGGGTTTTCGGACCCTACGTAACGTGTACAGATATTCTGTCAGGATCCGATCCACTTTCACCTCGGTCCCCAGCAGCCGCCTTTCTCGCCGCCTCTCCCGGGGTTTTTCAGGGAGCAAACTGAGCTCCACGCGTGCTGCAGGGAGAGGTTGTTCGGAGGGCGCATTTTCTGTAAGGAAGCCAGGCACAGTTTATTTTCCAGCTGGATCACGTAGCCTCTAGGTTCTGAGCACCATGATTTTTTTTAAAAAGGAAGGGTAATACAAATCAGAATAATGGGAAGGGAGTCAGATGGTGATTTAAGGTGCTCCAAGTGACGCAATTTCCACCCTTTTCCTGGTTTCCAGTGGAAACTTATCTTTGCTTCCATCCTGATTTGCCACCCTGGGGTCGTGTCATGTTTTACGTAAGAACCCACGTGCTGGGTGAGGGAGGCCCTCGGACACCTTGTCCCTCAAAGAGAGTTCCCTCCAGCTTCTGACATTCTGACTCTGAATTTTTTTTTAAGTTTATTTATTTTTGAGTGAGAGGATGAGAGCAGGGGAGGGGCAGAGAAAGAGGGAGACCGAGAATCTGAAGTGGGCTCCCTACTGACAGCGGCAAGCCCATTGTGGGGCTTGAACTCACGAAGCGTGAGATTGTGACCTGAGCTGAGGTCGGACGCTCAATTGACCAAGCCCCCCAGGCGCCCCCTGGACTCTGAATGTTTAATGTGAGCGGGAAGCAGAGAGAAGCTGGCGTGTGAGAAAGACGTTTGTGTGCCGAGTGGGGGCCAGAACTGTACACTCACCTGTGTGCTTCTCCCCTTCAGTATGGCTATGCCCCCAAAGGCTCTTCCGTGGTGTTGTACTGTGACAAGAAGTACAGGGGCCATCAGTTCTTCGTTGCTACAGATTGGCAGGGTGGCATCTACGCCTCCCCGACCATGGCGGGCTCACGGCCTGGAGGCATTAGCGCCGCCTGCTGGGCCGCCTTGATGCACTTCGGTGAGAGCGGCTATGTCGAAGCTACCAAACAGATCATCAAAACTTCTCGCTTCCTCAAGTCAGAGTATGTGTGCAAGATTGGGATCCTGCCTCATCTCTTGCTTTTTCTGCTCGCAGCTTCGAGGCGTCTGCTGGGCCAAGCACCCACACTCCTGGTTTGTCACCGCCTGCCGGAGGCCAGGCATCCCAGGCGGCGGCTCAGGGGTGTGGTGCTAGCCCCAGAGGATGCGTTCCCTTGCCCTGCTGTGACCCGGAGGTCAGACCCAGGCTTTGTCCGTAGCCGTCCTCACTCAGAGGGTGTGTCAGCAGCCGGCAGCTCTTACCAGGGGCCGGTAGACAGCTAAATGCAAACCTGAGCGTGTGTCCTAATCATCTGGAGGGCTTGTTTAAATTCTCATTTGGTAGATCTGGAAAGGAAGTCTGAGGGTTTGCATTTCTAGGAAGTTCCCAGCGGGTGCCGAGGCTGCTGGTCTAGGAATCACACGTGGGGAATCGCTAGTGGAGGAGGAGGCAGGGGGCCTGGGGGCGGGCCAAGTGAGGGCATTCAGGGCTGAGAGCAGGCTGGGACTAGGCCACATGCTCGGCCAGCTTACCCTTCACGTATTGCCTGCCTATCTCTGTGGCTCCCCTGGGCTGGGGGGTGGCGGGGAGTGGCTGAAGTCGGATGCTTAACCGACTGAGCCACCCAGGCGCCCCTACATGTATGATTTTTTAAACTGTAGAGATAGATGATTTTGGCAGGATTTTTTTCTTTTAGAAAAAAAATTGTGCATCTTTTTTTTTTTTTCTTAATGTTGACTTATTTTTGAGAGAGAGAGAGACAGAGACAGAGAGAGTGTGAGTGGAGGGGGGTAGAGAGAGCAGGAGACACAGAATCCAAAGCAGGCTCCAGGGTCTGAGCTGTCAGCATGTGGGGGGGGCGGGGGTAGGGAAGGTCTCAAATCCATGAAGCCTGAGATCATCACCTGAGCTGATCAGGCACTCAACTGACTGAACCACTCAGGTGCCCCTTGACATGCATCTTTTATTCCTCAGATGCATAAAATTCCCATACCAGAATTTGGGAGTTAGACAGGGTAAGAGCCAGTGATTCTGACTCATTGGAGCTCAGTGGGGTTTGGCCTTTGAAGATTTGAAATGTTTAGGGACCACTGCTCAGTCCAGCCACCTGATTTTAGAAGGTGAGAGAGCCGAAGCCCTAAGAGATTAGATTGTATTTTGGGGAGACGTTGAATGAGTAAAGAGGTGATGGCCGAAGGACTATATGTGGCTGAATTTCTTTTCTGTTCCTTTTTTTGTTTGTCTTCAGACTGGAAAATATCAAAGGCATCTTTGTTTTCGGGAATCCTCAATTGTCAGTCATAGCTCTGGGCTCCCGAGACTTTGACATCTACCGACTGTTTAACCTGATGACTGCCAAGGGCTGGAACCTGAACCAGCTGCAGTTCCCCCCCAGGTGAGCCGGAAGAGCCTCTTGCCTTCCTGCGCGCCCTGGCTTCCGAGGAACGCGGGCAGCAAGGTGACCGGAGCGTAGAGATTGGCTGCAAGGCCAGCACTGTGGCCGCCACTGCCGTAGCCGCAGCATCTCGTCTTGTCGTCTGGAATTACTCCGGATCCAGAACAAGACAGTTAACCTTAAAACTGTCAAAATTAGGTGGGGGCCTCTTGAGATCAGTGGTCAGTGGTGAGACGCCCCCCTCCCCCCACAGCGTCTTTCTAGGCTGTGTACTCTCCGCCCGCCTTGTGCACCGCAGTCAGATTGTGCTTGCAAACTGACCCTTTACCTCAAGACCTCCCTCCGGGCCTCTCATCGTCCAGGCCCACTGCTCTCCTCTTTAATATACCTTTGTAATCTAATTCTCCGTGAGGCTTATAGATAAATAAGCACTCCACGCCCACACCAGGGGCTGTCCTGTGTCCTCCACACATCTCGACCCCTTTCACTTGGTAGTACCGTTGCCAGTCCCAGGTGGACTCCGCTTATTCCTCTGCACGGCCCCTCTGTTCCTCAGTCTCCCACCAGGGGGCGTTAGAGCGCCTTCTTTGCCTTGAAGTCCTTCAAGCCCCCCGCCCCACGGCCCTGTGCCCATGAAGGTGTATCATCCAGGATGAAAGCAGCCCCTTGGTGGTCATGGTGGTCACGTGACTCAAGGCTAGGCAGTTGACAGTTCGTGAGGGGAGGGGTGGGACAGGGCTGGCGGCTGTATTCATTCCGTCAGGATGTTCTAGATCATGCTGTGGCCTGGAGCCCTCATGTCAGCGCATGCTTGACAGCCCGTGTATTTGAGCCCCCCAATTCCCAGGACTGGAAACACTTGTCACAAATCACATGAAGCAGCAAGTGACAAATTCCTGTGTGGGGGGCTGCTTCCTTTTAGAACTCTTTCCCCCAAGGTTCATCTCTGTCTGTGTCTTTCTTCTCCCGTAGTATTCACTTCTGCATCACGCTGGTACACACTCGAAAGCGAGTCGCCATACAGTTCCTGAAGGACATTCGGGAGTCTGTCACTCAGATCATGAAGAACCCTAAAGCAAAGACCACAGGAATGGTAGGGACACTTGGGGTTTTTTGCTTCCTGGGGAAGCTCAGGTGTCGTCGGGGGGTTGAAATAACCAGATGACCTCAGGTCTGTTCCTGCCTCGGTTCTGTCTCCACAAACCTAATTACTTGGAGCTGATCATCTCTGCCTCACCCGTGCCCAGGGTGTTTGGTCTCACATGAGGTCTGCTGTATATAAAGCATCTTGTGAATTTAAAAGTGCCATACAGAGGCAGGTGGTGGTCCTGTCCCTCGGAAAAGAAAGTTTTGACACAGGAAAGGCAGTAAGCCTGCTTTCTCCAGAATTTTCTACAGCAAATCCCATAGGCTAGTTCCTTTGGGCAGAAAGGCAGACTGGCAAGTACCTGTGAAAAGCTGTCTGGGGTGGGCATGCAGCAGGGGAGAAGGGGGACGCGGAAGTCGGGGTGGGGGAGGAGGGGATCAGGGCTGCAGCTGCGTCTCCGACCCTGACTTCTCATCGCCAGTAATGACCTCTGACTGGATTTGTAGGGTGCCATCTATGGCATGGCCCAGACGACCGTCGACAGGAACCTGGTGGCAGAGTTGACCTCGGTCTTCTTGGACAGCCTTTTCAGCACTGACGCCGTCACTCCGAGCAGCCAGATGAACGGTTCTCCAAAACCCCGCTGAGTCTGGACGCTTCGCGGCCCCGAGGGGCTCCTGGCCTTCGGAAGGGTCTCGGAGTGTGGAACAGGCCGCGCACAGTTAGAGCATCTGGTCTTGCTCCACAGATCGCGACGAGGTGGACCACGAGTCGGCTTGACCCTCAGGATTCTTGTCCCTCCTCTTACTGTCCTTGTGGGTTTTAACGTGGAGACCCTGAAGGAGTCCGTCACCTAATTATTTTGCCCTTGTTCTCAGATGTTACCCTAGGAATCATTTTAGCCATTTCCTTCTCTAACCTTCTAGCTTTCGACTTCACTTCATCATTGGGTGGCAGCTCTGACCCATCCTGATCCCCGAGGGAGGCTGGGGTAGGGTTATGCGACACGAGAGGGTTTCCTCTGTTCTCTCAGGTGGACGGGCGAGCAGCTCGGAAGCGTCCCCGTGACGCATGTCTCCCCAGGTGGGTGTCAGGTGCACTCTGAGCACGCGGTCCTCTCCGCCCTCCTCTTTGAGTAGGTGAGCCGTCCCTCTTAGATTCACTCTGAGCGCACCTCACTTTATTTTTCCAAGACACCGCTGGGCAGGCCGCTGTCCCTGTTGTGCAGGATTGGAGCAGCCGAGCAGATCTGCTCAGTTTACCGAGGCAGGCTCTGGAAGGGCCTCTTCCCTGCACCCCTGGTCCCCGCTCTGATGCTTGGTTGCCACCATCCGTGGAGATTTGTGTTTGAAGTCGCACTCACACTGGTTTGCGGTGGTTCCCCTGGATTAGGAAGAGAGTGTGGTTTCCGGAGAACCCTGGGCGTTCCGGCCCTGGTGCTGCCTGTCTGCATTACAGCCTTCGGAGCACAGCTGACCCCTCTCCCGGGCTGGGGATGATGGGAAACCACAGCCCTCTCCCTTTCTCAGGGTGTCAGAGCCGGATGAGTGCCCGAGTCACAGCTCTGTCACCAGAGTTGGTGGTCCTCCCCTCCCCCACCGCTGTAAGCCGTCATGTAGGAGAACATTGGCTTGAAGGAACAGTTCACAGCTCCTTCACGAGTTGCCTTGACTTACCCTCACTGGGTGCAAGGAGGGCGTGAGAGAAAGTCCCTAAGGCAGGGAAAGTTTTCTCCCCGTTAGTGTGTGTATCCTGCCTCTTGCCCTGTATTTAGCTCCCAAAGGTACGATGGCAGTTTAGCCTCAGGTACTGGACACTTCTCAGCCCTGGCTAGAACGAGACAAGCTTGTTAGAATAGGAAAGTGTGATGGCAACCATCAGTCGTGGCCTAGGGCCTGGGATTCCTTCCTAAGACTAGTTGCTCAGGGTGGTGCAGGGACAGGACCAAACCCTGCGCCCACTCCCTACCCCCTTCTCCCCTGCACGGGGCCCTAATCTAGGCAGAGCCACTGTCTTCCTCTGAAGACGACATATTGTGTGCCTTTTTCCTCACAGCGAGCAGTAGCAGGCTAGTCCTGACCCAGGCCCTGGGGCAGATGCATCGGTCTTCAAGATTTTTACTTGGGTAGGGGAGTACTTTAGGATGAGTCAGGAGAAAAGTCTCCTCTGTTCCATTACCCTTCTCAGGGACTCCTGAACCACTCAGCCCCTTCAGGCTGGTATCCTCCGGCCTCCCTTGCTGGGAATGCTGGCCAGGAGAGCCCCCAGGCTCCTTAGCATGTCTGTCTGAAGTGGCCTTCAGCACTGTACTTCCTCCACAATAACTGTGATTAGCTGGCTGTGTCGCTGCAGGGCTGGTGTGTGTGTGTGTTCCTCGTGTCCATTGTGGGTGCCAGGAGAGGTTGGGGTGTGTATGTGTGTGTGAGAGAGAAAGGCTAAGATCCTTTGGACACAGGAGCCGCGTTCCCTCCAGTTACTGAACTGGCAGGCGCCGCAGAGAGAGGCGCTCTGTGTGAACTGTCTCTGGTGCATCCATGGTGCTGGACGGACCACCCAGCAGGCCCCCCTGTGGTTTGTCAGCTGCTACACTGGAGACGCGTGCGCTCTGCAGAGCAGGCTGCTGCTTCCAGGGTCTGCAGGACCTCCCTCTGCTGTGACGGCACCGCTGCCCGGGGGGCAGTGGTGTTTTTCAAAGGGACCTACTGTAGCCATTTTAGGATCATGAGCCTTAGTTTGACTCAACCCTTGTGGGCTTTCCACTCTCTGTCTGTGCGCATAGTAACACCTAGTCTGCGGAGGCGGGCAGTCTTCACGGTGTCCTGTTGCTGGCAGGTGTCACACTGGCCTCTGCAGAAACTGTACTGTCTTGTCTCTAAATTAAGTAACTAGTCGCGTGGATATACTGCCATGTCACTTTTAATATTACCAGTTTTATACTTGGAAAATGGTACTTGCCTCTTCTCAGTCTTTTCTGTATTTAACTCCTTCTTCCCATCTCAGTGCTCCCTTCTTAACCGCAGCAATAAGATCTTAAAAAGGATTAAGTAATTAAATGTCCCAAATCTTAACTAATGTGGGTGGCTGTATTCAATTATTCGGGTGCGGGTGGGAGATCCAGGTGGGGCGGGGCAGTTCTAGAACTGGCTGCTGGTGGGAGAGCACCCCCTTGTGGTGAAATGGTTGTGTGTGGCCGCTGATACTCAAGCCTTAGCCCTGGGCAAGGGTACCTTCACAGGTGTCTTCTCCAGGAGTGGTGGTCATGCCTGTTTTAAGGAGTTCTAGAACTTAGGTCTTTAGTTCCCCAGGACCCAGGCCCTGCCTTGTGTTTTCTGTCATCCTCATCATCTACTTCTGCTGATACCTTAATGATGGATGGAGCCTTCTGAGGTGGGCCCCAGCCAGCTGGCCACGGGCTTCAAGGCCTGCGTTTGATTTGGGAGCTGGTGGGACCCCTCAGAATAGCTCTGCACAGGTAGCCGCTGGCCATCTTGTTCCACTACGAATGAGAAAAGAGAAGTCTGCAAAGGATTATTCAGGTCCTGGAGGCTGTCCTTCAGGTAACCCCGCTTCTCATTCCATTGGGGCTTTGCCCGAATCAAGCCGAGGAGTGCTGTCTTTGCTACAGTTTTCTGCTAAATGACTTGGGTTTCCTGAGCACCTGCTTGCTCTGGGGTGAGCCCCGGAGAATAAAGAGGCCAGGATATGCTTGGTTCAGGGGCCTGACCCATCCAAGAATTGGTATGTGGCTGCTTACTCCTGCTACTTACTGCCATGAACCCCTTGCCTTCCCTCATTGGGAGCAATGAGCCACTTTCCGCTAGAGCCAGCAGTGACAGAAGCCATGATGGAGGCCGGGTTTGATACCCTCCAGCTACAGCCTGGGTAAGCAAGAGTCAGTCAACTCGAGTTGGAGTCTTAATTGCCTTTTTCTTGGGCTTGCTTTCTCATAAGCTCTCCTTAACACCTTCTCATATAACTCCAGTTATTTGCATGAATTTTAGAACAAACATTTATTTCTGAAAAAGTATCGCTCGTTTTTGTCCCACAGAAAAGTCCTTCACATAACTGTAGGGGCCTCCAGGATGGCATTTTCAAGCCCTGTCCCCTGACCCAGCAGAGGTGGGAAACATGTGCTCCGTACTTCCATGTCTGGTGGCTTCTGTCCCCTAACCTGTTGGCAGATCAAAGCCCACTTGGGAAAAGTGAAGTCCGAGGTGGAGCATGCCGGGAGAGCATCTGAATCTCACTGGTTTTGATATTCAGCTTTGCTGAGAACGTGCTGTTTACCTAGGTGTTGTTAGTCTCTAGACCCCACTTAGTACCTCTTACCAACAATAGGCTCATTTCTCAACCACCAGCCTGCCTCTCTTTTCTGTCCCTGTTGCCAGACCAACCCATCCAGGGTGAGTGGGTCATGACACCCTGTTGCAAGGGTCCGTGGCGTTTGCAAGTCAGCTTAGTATGCAGGCACCTTCAGGCCGGGGGTTGTAGGTGAGGGGGAAGGGCTTCCTGAAATCTTGCATAATGGCATACACAAAAGGACACCCACGTGGCACGTGCTGGGGAGAAAGGATGCTGCGCTCCATGGCCCCCACTTCTCCCAGTCACAGCACATCGTGGGAATATTCTACCCTGGAGCCACTAGGTTGGAGGACTGATCTGTAGGAATCGGCTCCTTAGCTGCTCAGGTGGTAAAATAGTCCTCTCCCTTACACGGTAAAACAAGCAAGCCTGGAGACTCTGGCCAAGTCTCTTAAGAAACTAGCAGGATTAGAAATATCCCCATGGAATGGGGCACCTGGGTGGCTTCATTAAGCGCCCGACTTTAGCTCAGGTCATGATCTACCATTTCGTGAGTCTGAGCCCCGCGATGGGCTCTGTGCTGACAGCTCAGAGCCTGGAGCCTGTACCCTGCTTCAGATTGTTTCTTTCTCTCTCTCTGCCCCTCCCCCCTCCTCTGCCCCTCATACTCTCAAAAATAAATAAACATTTAAAACAAATCTCCCCATGGGTGTTGCAGACCAGGTAGAGATAATACAGCCTAATTTGTATTTTTGTAAATTTGTAAAATTTGTAAATTTTAGAGCAAGTGTGAGTGGAGGAGCGGCAGAGAGAATGAGAGGGAGAAAATCCCAAGCAGCCTCAAGTCAGCACAGAGCCTGACAGGGGGCTTGATCCCACAAACTATGAGATCATGACCTGAACCAAGATCAAGAGTCGGACACCTAACCACCTGAGCCACCCAGGCACCCTGCACAGACTGCCTTTCTAGTGGCAGGTCCCACCGTGGATAAATACAGTGTCCTCCACACCTTTACTTTTACTCATGGGGCCCCCTCAGCCATCTCCGCCTCAAGAATCCCATTCAGCTCTTGAAGCATCATTTAAATGAAGCCTCGAGTCACCCTTGTCAATCGCCTCATGTTTCCTTAGCTCATTTCTTATCCTTGCCTCTAGCGTTGGCTTCATTCATCCTGCCTAGTGATAGTTAACTGCTTCCTGCTGAATTCCCTACCTGACCGTGAACTCCATGCAGACAGGGTAGTTTCCTTCTGCTTTGCCCCCAGTGCCTTCCATAGAGAGTAAGTGCTTCCCCAGTTTGGACTGACCTGGGGAAAAGCTCGTTCTAGAGCTTGAGGCCGAGTGAAACGAGTTTTATTTGAGGCATAAAAGCACGCGTGTTTCGGTCACATACCGGGGGGTTGATGTTAGGGTCCTGGTTTCTAAGATAAGACGGTGCATCTGAGACACAGCTTCTTGGGAAATGAATTAGAAAGGGAGCAAGACACAGCCTGGCAAGACCATTACTGTTGCTGCGAAGTCCTGCAGAACGGGAAGATCGTCCTCAATCAGCATACATGTAACAGAGTGCTGGGGATGAAGAGGGGTCAGCAGTGAGGCGGCATCTCCTCCTTCCACAGCAAGGACCCTCCACTCAACAGAGGCTGTGGGGGGGTCCACTTGGCAATTCTGTGTAGAACATCTCCCGGCTCCCCGGTTCCCTCCCTGGATTCCCAATTCAGTCCCCCCACTGCCCTGAAGATTTCAAAGAGGAAGGGCAGGGCCTATGTCATGGACACCGCCACTTGTTCGATGAAGCTGGCCAGGTTTATGTCCCGTTCTGAAAGGCCGGCACACTCATGGGTGCTCAGGGTGATGTGGACCTGAAACAAAACCAGAGATTAGGGCCTGGCTCATCTACCGCCTTCGCCAAGAGCAGGACAGGGTCACAGCCACGAGGTTCGGCCACACCAAGCACTCCGGAATAGCAGCCAGGCCCTACGGTCTCCTGCGGGCTGCCCGCCCCAGAGTCTCGCAACAGTGCACACCCGCCTCGCGGCTCAAGGCGGGCATTTAAAGATGGCACTCGTTAGGCGGGCAGTCCCAGCTGCTGGCTGTGCGTGGGTATTCTTAGCTCAGGTCACTAGTTTTTCATCCCTCCACACCTCCATGAGGAGTGAAATCCGCGCTATTAGCAACGAATAGGCCCGATTCCCAGAGTCCTGCCTTCTGTGGGTTTTGCCTTCTTCCTGTCTCCTCAAGCACAGCTTCCCTCACGAGTGTTTTCATTTGTGCCTTCTTTCATCTGTAGTGAGACTGGCTGCTTTGCAGGGGTGTTCACGTCGATTCTAGGAGCGAGTCGCAAGGACCAGGAGGGTGGATGGACAATCTATGGGCGGCGAGGCCCCTGGGGAAGCCCAGGGAAGGGCCTTCAGGACGGGCTGGGCTGGACCTGGCAGGCAGGCGTCGCTTACCTTGTTGTACACGTTAAACCATTCGGGGTGGTGGTCCAGTTTCTCCGCCTGCAGGGCCACCCTTGTCATGAAGCCAAAAGCCTGTGTCGTGAAGGGAGAGCCGGGTTAGCGCCCCGAGAGAGAGGGCTGCCGGGCCCCCCTGCGGGCCGATGTAAGACCCAGGTGCAGGACGGACCGGCCCCCCACGAGGAGACCCCTCCAGCCGTGGTGGCCCGCTGGTGCCCCGCAGCCGGCTCTGCGCAGGAGCCTGAGGCCGAGGTCCTTCTGAAGTGGGAAGAAAGTCTTGTTACCAGGGCCCCTACCTAACGAGGTGGAAACTCCATGGAGGGGTTCAGTCTTGGCCAGCCTTTTGGTTATCCACTGAAATGCCTTCTGCTTCCTACTTGAGCCCGCTCCTCTAAGGATTGTTCCTGAAAGTTCCAGGCATGGAGGGCCCAAGACCCGTCTCCCCACTCTCCAGTCCCCAAGGATGACACTCCCAAGTAAACGGGACCAGTGCAGTGTCTGAGGGTCTTGGGTAGCAGGGCCTTGAGGGAAAGAACAAGGCCTGGAGCGTGACCCCATCCGCCCCAGCCTCAGTCGCTCCGTCCCACCCGGTGCCTTACCCGATTGAAGTCTTTGAAATGGAACTGCTTGAAGATGGCATCTCGGCCTTCCAGCTCGTTCCACCCCACGGCCCTCAGGTTTGGCAGCAGCTGGTCCCTCTCCTCGGCGCTGAGCCTGTGTGCTTTCCCAGCCTAGGAGAGGAAACCAACGGAGGCCCAAGGGCATTTCTTTTCCCAGGACCCAGGAGAGGGCCGCATCACGAGGGGACTCAGCCAGCCGGCGAGGGCTGTTCCAAAGCAACTGGCAGGGAGGTGTCCTGGGTGGCGCCCAGCCCTGGAGGTGGGGCCGGGCTCAGGCACTGATAGTTTTAGATTTGGGCATTTCTCTCAAAGAACAGAAGACCCTGAGGTGTCATGCAGACCTCTAGGGCTGAGCAGTACTCCCGCCACCCGGCCCCCAAAGCCTGACAGAACCCTCCCCCCAAACAGGTCTCTTAAGTGACTGAGGAAGATCAAGGCCAGATTCGAATGTACACAGCCTTTCAGAAAAAGGGGACCCATGACTGTCCAACCTTTTTCTGTTCTGGACCTCATCCCGCTCACCCTATGCCAGTACTGCTGTTCCTCAAGGAAACTGAGGCCTAGAAAGGGAAATGACCACTGCCCTCCTCCCCCTCCCTTCCCCTCAGTCCGAGAGAACACAGGCAGTGTTCTCAAAGGGGCTCCGAGTCTGCCTCCTGGGGCCGGGCAAAGGAGCCAGCACCTACAACACCTTCCAGATGATTTCTTAGCCACAGCACAGGTGACATCCACAGGCACTACCTCCCAGTGGGTAGTTATTCATCATGTTCCCGTGTACCCTCTGAGTACCAGCTGCCAGGCCTAGGGGGTTCAGAGTCCCACCTTCTTTTCTACTCTGTCATTTTGGGGACCCTGAGCCAACAGAGCTCAGGCCCAAAGTGGAAGCAACTTGGCCAAGGGCGACTGGCAAACCTCATGCCTCATCCTATTTACCTATTGGCAAAGCGCCCTCCGGGCAGCCCAAACTGGCACAGCCGTGAGCGGAACTGTCAGAGACAGAAGGAAGCCAGGGTCAGTTCCATTCCCTATGAGGATCCAGGCCTGGGCACGTCAGGGATCCCAGAGTGGAGACTGCTGCACGAGAACTACCCAAGGACAGAAACGACAGAGCGCTACAGGAGCCGTGAATCAGGGGGACCAGGGGAGAGGACGTGAGGGAGGCTAGTTTAGCTTTCCTGAGGCAGGGCCGGTTCGAGCCCCAGTCCCGCCCTTCTCCAGCAAGGTGGTTCTGTGGCACTCATCTCCCTTGGCTTCAAGGGCAGAAGGGGCCAAGAACTTCCACTTTCAGATCAGCAAGAGGAGCCGATGGGACACTAATAGACTCTACTGTTACCACGGGCACGACCCCCGCGTTTGTAAAAGGAGGCTCCAGGGGCTGGCAGGCCTGCTGGGCCTCCCGGTGGGCGATTGGTCTGGAAAAGCCCTGCAGCCTCCTCTAAGTCCATCTTTCTCTGTCTCCTGAAAACACTTGTTTTCTCTGGACTGACCTGGCTTCGTCTGGCTGCCTCTCCTCAGCTCTGAGACATCTGCACCCAGCGCCCAACCCCTGCTCCGTTCCAGGGCTGGCCCTTTCTCAGTGGCTGAGCAGCCTGGTCCACGTATCCAGGCAACTGGATTACCTGATGTCAGCTCGGGCATCAGCACCCGTTGCTTAGTTCTTTGGCCCAGAAAAAAAGTGGGTGGGTACCCTCAGCCACTGGGAGGCACCCCTTCCTCTTTAGAGTCTTCTGGGACCCCCCAAGTTTCACTGAAGTCTGGGGCTAAAATGACAAGCCTCTCCCAGATCTGGGATCAGGTGGGGGGAGGGGGAAAGGCACAGTGTTTGCTTGGTAAATCACAGGTCAGGCCTGGCCTCTGCCTGGTGGGGGAGTGCGCCATCGGGTTACTGATTACCTGCCTTGCCCTGCATCTTGGGGGCCTCTGTGCACCACACAGCCTCACTCCGCACCGCCCCTCCCTCCAAGTCACAGCTTTCCAAGTGCCCTCTCAACTGTTGCCACAGGCCCGCCTGCTCCTAAGGCTTCGGGACCAGAAAGGGGCTGTTGAGTAAGCTTCCCCGGTCCAGTCGCTCCTCCTCTGCCAGGGCCCCCCTTCACCTGCCCAGGGGTGGAGTTGTGGAGGCAGAGCTGAGCACAGGGCCAGGGCCCTCCTGGGGGGAAACCCAGCCTGGAGGAGGGCTTATCCTGAGCAATCAGGTCCCTATTGCTGGCCCTGGGGCCGAGGGGGGGTGGGGGCAGCGCAGGGCGCCCAGAGGGTTTGGCCCACCCCGTGCCAGAAGTGCAAGAGAGAAGGGCGGTAAACAGGCGCGCAGAACACAGAACCAGCCTCCCTCCTTGTCACACACGGACGCCCCCACCCCCTCAATACGGAAGAGGACCCGCGACCGAGGGAGGAGACGCCTGCGGGCTCATCAGCTGCCTCTGCGCCCCCGCCGGGGCCCACCGCCCACGCCCCGCCCGCGGCAGCGAGGGAGCCGGGTTACACGGGCCTGAGAGCAGGACCAGGCCTGGGCTCCCGCCTCGCTGTCACCCGGCCCTGCCACCGCCCCTCTCCCGGCCTCAGCCCACCCTGGGACACTACAAGGGGCGCGGGTGGCCGCAGGGCAGAGACCCCAGCTCTCCGGGCCGGCGCGCGGCCAGCGGGCGAAGAGCTCGCAGGCACAGTCCCCCACGTTCGTCGCCCCCCGCCACGCCCCCGCGGTCGGCCCTTTCCTCTCCTCCGCCCCATCCCCACCCCGCGCGTCCCGGCCCCGCGGGCGGCGGCGCGCGACCCCCTCACCATGGCGGGCGCAGGTGCGGACGCGGCCGAGCGGCAGGTGGCGGCCGGGCAGCGGGGCGGCGCCGGGCCCTCGGGGCAGCGGGAGGGGCGGGGCGGGACGGCGAGGGCCCGCCCACCGGTAATCGTTAACTCGGCCGCGACCCGCGCGCTCGGCCTCTGCCCTTTTCCAGCACTTTCCTGAGGGCTCTCGTCACCGGGAGCTCAGGGACTGAAAACATGGGGCTCTAGGTGCGTGCGGACTTCCGCATTTGAATCGCTCTCTGCCACTTACCATCCGTGTCACTCTGGACGTGAGATTACCTTTCTCTTTTTTAAAGACAACTGATGGAGGTATTGACCTGCAAGAAACTGCACATAACCCAAGTGTACAATTCGATGCGTTTGACGATTCGTGCGAGCAACGCTGAGATCGAGGTCATGAACGTATCATATCCATCATAACTACAAGTTTCCTCCTCTCTCACACAGCGTTGATCTGCTTCTGGTCACAGTCTGCTAGGTTGCATTTCCTAGAATTTTATGTGACTGGAAATCATACAGTACGTACTCTTGTGTCTGGCTTCTTATCACTCAGCATAATTACTTTGAGGTTCACCCATGTGGTTTCATGTATCAATAGTTTCTTCCTTTCTATGGCTAAGTACAATTTATAGTAGTATATCGCATGGATATACCACAATGTGTTCATCCGTTCCCTGGTTGATGGAATTTGGGTTGTTTGCAGTTTTTCACTATTACAAATAAAGCTGTCATGAATTTTCCTGCCCAAGTCTGTATAGGTGTATGCTTTCATTTTTCTTGAGCAAATGTCCAGGAGTGGAATGACTGGGGCCTGTGGCAGACGTGTTTATAAGCTTGTTAGGAAAGTGCCAGATTGCTCCCCAAAGTGGTTGTACTGTTTTACACATCCCCACCAGCAGTGTCTGAGGTTTCTACTTTCCCTATGATGAGGAAAACAAAGGCAAAAGAAATGCAGCTTCAATTACATCCCCGTCCAGCTTGCAGCCCACAGACAGGCACCTGAAACATGCCCAGTGTGAAGTCTCTTTCTGCCCACGGGTCCTGTGGTCCTGTCGGTCGTGTTCCTGTGCTTTAATAAAATCACCTTTTTGCACCAAAGATGTCTCAGGAATTCTTTCTTCCCCGTGTACTCACAAACTCTTGCAGATGCACCAATGCTTATTATGGTCAATCTTTTTTTAATTATTGTTTATTTATTTATTTTTACAGAGAGAGAGTGGGAGAGAACACTTGCACATTCATGAGTGGGGGGAGAGAGAGAGAGAGAGAGAGAGAATCCCAAGCAGGCCCCAAGCTCAGTGCAGAATCTGTCCCCAGGCTTGATTTCACGACTGCAAGATCCTGACCCGAGCCAAAATCAAGAGTCAGGCACTTAACTGAGCCATACAAGAGCCCCAATGGTCAATCTTTTTAATTTGAGTCATTCTAATTGGTGGGTAGTGGTATCTCATTGAGTTTCCATAATAGCTAATGATATTGAACATCTTTTCATGTGTTTATTTGCCATTGGTAAATCTGGTGAACTGCCTGTTCCAATTTCCTGCCCGTTTTTGTTTTTGTTTTTGTTTTTGAGTTGTTTTCTTACTGGGTGTTGAGAGTTCCTTATTATGGATACGAGCACTTTATCAGAGATCTGGTTTTAATTTGCATTCCACACTGTGTTTCAAATAGAAACTGCTCTTAATTTTGATGAACTCCAATTTATTAAATGTTTCTTTTATGGAGTAGTGTTTTGGTGGTGCAACTAAAAATCTTTACTGAACCCAATGTCACAAAAATTTTTCTGTTTTGTTTCCTTTTTGTGATGTTTCTCCCATGTTTTTGTTTTTGCATTTAGGTCTGTGATCCATTTTGAGCTGATTTTTCCTATGCTTTGAGTGGTAAAATCCAAATTCGCTTTTTGCATGTGAGTATTCGTTTCTTCCTTTCTCCACTGAATTGCTTTTATACCTTTGTAAAAACTCGATTGAAGGTATATGTGTGGTTTATTTATAATTGACCTATATGTGTGGACTCTATCCTGTTCCGTTGATCTGTTTGTCCATCTTGATGCTAATGCCATGCACCTTGTTTACTGTGGCTGGGGAAGTCTTGGAGGCAGTCTTCATCCCTATAATATGCTTTTATTCCTCTTCTCCCAATGGGCTAATATGTGAATTATATTGCATTCATGTGTGTTTTTGTTTGTATTGTTTTGCAACATGTGTGCTGTTGTTTCATCTATATGTATTTTTTAAAAATTTGTAATTTTTATTTTTGAGTGAGACAGAGACGGAGTGTGAGTGGGGGCAGGGGCAGAGAGAGAGAGGGAGACACAGAATCTGAAGCAGGCCCCAGGCTCTGAGCCCAATGTGGGGCTTGAACTCGTGAACCGTGAGATCATGACCTGGGCTGAAGTCAGACACTCACCCGACTGAGCCACCCAGGTGCCCCCATCTGTATGTATTTTTAATTTTTGTAAATGGGTCTGTGTACCATATCTCATTCAGTTTCTTTCACCCATGTGTGCTATCTGTGTACTTGGTCTGTAGTTTCTAACTGCTGCTGAGTATCCCATGTTATTCTTCTTCCAGTGATGGACACTCGGGTAGCTTCCAACTCCCCTGCCACCACCACTACTACCCCCTCAGCACGTGAGTGTGCAACACACACGTAACAAAACAACAAAGAAGGATATTGCAGTCAGCATCTCTTCCAGCTCTATAGCTCCCTGGCCTCTGAGCAGTTTCTTAGGCAACTTAAATATAAATATGTAAATATATATAAATGCAAATATATATCCAATAAATCCAGCAATTCCCTCATGGGTATGTATCCTAAAATAGCTTTCGATGCTCTGGACAATGGCTGTTCTGGTCCTCATGTCACGTGCATCGTGTGAGGGTTCCCATTGCACAAAATACTCACACTTGACATTATCTAGCTTTTTAATTTCTGCCACGTTATAGGTATAAACTGATAACACACTCTTTTGCTTTGTGTGTTTCTCATTACTAAGGATCCTGAGCACCTCTTCATATGCATGTTTAGTGCTTGGGCTTATGGCTTGTAAATTACCTTTTTTTAAAAGACCTTTTTTAATCTTTAAGTAATCTCTACATCCAACGTGGATCTTGAGCTCACAACCCCAAGATCGAGAGTCACATGCTTCACTGATTGAGCCAGCCAGGCGCCCCCCCTCCCCCCGTAAATTGCCTTTTAATATTCTTTCCATTTTGAAAAGAGTTTACAATGTTCTCTTTTTTCAGTTGATTTGCAAGAGTTTATATCTAGACCCTAATTGCTTTGTCCACTTTCAATATTGCAAAAATCTCCTCCCATTTGGCCATCGGCATACTAACTTCTCCCATAGTGTCCTTTGTTGGTAGAAGTTTTATATTTTAGTGTACTAGGCTTATCTCTTCTTTTCTCTGCCTTATACCTTTGTGCCTCTGAAGATTTGTCAGATAATTTCCCTGCCATGACAATATTCTCCCTTTTCTTCTGTTAACTTTATGGTTAGATAAAAGTAAGACCCGAATGTGAAAGGTCCCCTTTTAGATGTGTGTTAGGCAGGATGTTAGCTCAGCTCCAGTGACCCTTGACTGTCCGTGTTCATGCCTTGTGGCTTTTGCTAGTCATCTGCCAGCATGGGACTGGGGCTCCGTGGCTGTCCAGGCCATCAGATGACTTCAGCCCCAGCAGACATCTGCCTGCAGTAAGGTGAGTCCCCAAGTAAGAACCCTGCCCAGCAGAGACCAGTCAACCCATGGAATTATGGTAACTAGCAGTACGTTTTAATTTTAAGCCACCAGATTTGGGGGTGGCTTGTCATACAGCAATAGGGAATAGGACACATAGATTCCTGAACAAAATTTAATACTTGGAAGTGGAGTGCTAAAAACAAGCTGCCTGGGAATGGTGGGTGGGGAGAAGGTGGGCAGAAGGCCACAAAGACAGTAGGGAAGATTTGCCTCCACCCCGGAGGTACAAAGCTACAAAGAGTGCTGCTTCCACACTAACATGGGGAAGCCCGGATACACTACAAAATCATCACTTTAGTTCCCCTGGCCTTGAAGCTGAGCTCTCAGGGCAACCAAGGGGCCTGAATTCCAAGGGAGGAATGCAGACGGGCTCTGGCACTCGGAGGGAGGGGGGACACGCACAGCCTCCATTAAAGTGGGTAAGAAGACTCAGCTACAATCTTAACAAGTAGTTGGGAGCCGGGCGCGTGCTGGAATAGCAGCCCGGGATAGCTGGGGGCCGCCCTCGTGAACAGCTTGCCTTCTGAACTCTAGCGGGTGCTGAGCGGAAAGATGCGAGGGAGACCCTCCCAGCGGAGCAGGGACCTCAGGGGATTGGCTACTGCTGCGGGCGGAAGTGCCAAGCCCCGCCCTCCTCTCCAGACCCTGGTGCAAGAGCAAGAGCCTCAGTCACTAGCAAAGGACACACCACACCCTCACTTCCAGAGCCCAGAGCCACTGTGGCTTTATTTCCAGTAGGAGAAAAATAAATTTCTCTGCCTCCCCTCCGCCCCCCCCCCCCCAGGTTTGGTGCAGGAAACTGTTCCAAGCCCGGGATCCTATACCAGCACCTTTAGAGGTCAGCTGCGCGCTGGTGAGGATGTGGGGCCACTGGAACTCTCACACATTGCGGGGAAATACAAAATAATTCAGCCACTTTGGAAAGCAACTTGGCAACTTTTTATGAAGTTAAATATACACTTAACCTTATATAGATCGGCAATCGCACTCCAAGAGAAATGAAAAGTACGTCCGTGCAAAAACCTATATGCAAATATGCATACAGCTGTATTTGGAAATAATTCAAATGTCTATGGACAGATGACTGAATTAACACATATGCATTCATACACTGGGATACTACTCAGCAATGTAAAAAAATGGGTTGTGGACCCACTCAATGTAATGGATGAATCCCAAATAAATCATGCTAATAACAGTAGCCCAAATGTCAATTACTGTATTATTCTATTTATATAATATTATGAAAAATACACCACTCTAGGCAGAGAAAAGATAAGTGATTGACTGCGAGGGGCTGGAGAGGAAGGAGCTGGCTACAGAGGGGTGCAAGGGAATTTTGGGGGTGGTAATTAAAATATTTTGTATTTTGATTGTGATGCAGTCAAATGATTGGATGCCTTTGCCAAAAAGGTGTGAATATGTAAATTATATCTCAGTAACTTTGAATTAAAAAACGAATTGAGGGTATGAAATCTCAGGACAGTCATTACCATTGGCTAGTGAGCATCAGAAAGATTGTGAGTGGGCTTCTGGTAATGTTTTGTGTCTTGGTCTGTGTGTTGGGTACGTGGGTGTGTCGATGAAAAGTCAAGTTGTACATCTAGGGAT